TGTACGTACAAGAGATTAGCGTCCCAGCAGGCCTGAAAGAGTGTCATTAACCCCAGTTTGTTCAAGTTCATATGGAAGATAATGAACTCTCCAGCTGTTGGTTAACCTTTTGCTTTCGGTATTAATTATGCAATATGCTAATGTAATTAGCATAGGTCTAGGTTCATGGTGTCAAGATATAACATTGTGAGGATTTCAGTTAAAATCTTGATTAATGTTTTAATTATCAGTTGAAACACTGGCATTTCATGAGTTTGTATAACAGCAGAGATTCATCTGCAGGTTCAGTCTCTTTGCCCTGAGCAAGTTCAAATCCTATTTTCCCATCTACACAGTACACAGTACTTGCCTGAAAGGAAAAATTGCACTAAAATGAATTAAGAAAAGAGTGCAGACATAATTAAACATACACCATCATATGTTTAAAACAGCATTAATTACTTTTTTGCCACTTGGCTGCAGAATTCCAAGCCGAACATCATACACGATCGACATAAAGCCTCACAAGTTGTTAAGCAAGTTTGTTGAAAATGAATGACCTCTCATTCCCCAAAGAGTTAATTAATCTCCTCTCTCTCTCTCTCCTCCATCTGTGCAGAATGTTTGCTCGCAGGAGGAAGCCCACATACTGGGACTTCTCTGTCAACTGCACTGGCAATGAAGCCCATTTGTCCAGCTGTAAACTGGGCCAGGCCACATCACTGAAGTCCAATGGCACCTGTGCTGAAGGCTTGCCTGTGGTGGTGAGCTGCGTGCCAGGCAGAGCCTTCTCCCCGACGCCCATGACGGGATTCAGGAAGGCTTTCAGACAAGAGGTAACGTCCCTGTGGAAACGGCTGCGTTTATACTTGTTTCAGACAACTGACAAAAAATGATTTTTATTCTTTTATCCTTTTTATTATCTGTCATCATTGTTTAGGCTATTCTGAATCTAAAATACACACCCTCGACTAAAACCGGGAGTTTTTCCAGTTCTGACTTAAACAGGCATGAGCAGTATTTTAACTCTCTGTGCACAGATTTTAGAAATATGAAATAATATTGTTTACGTATAATGAGCCACTTCCACACACCCTTAAGTGTGTAAAGGTTTTTCTTCTGTGTCCATGATTGCCAGTGAACTGAAATGGTAAACAAAGCTGATATAGGAAATGACTGCACTGATTCGGTTCAGTTCACTGGCTCTGATGCGGAGGGTGGGTTGCTGAAATGTTTTGGTGAGACGTTCAGAACGCAGTGTCACTCTGTGAACTGCAGCTGTAGCTGCTTTGGACATTTCACAATGAATTATCATCATCTGAGGGTTTCAGGGATGACATGATGTAGTAAAATTCTTGGGACAGGCAAAGGAAAAACATGTATCTCCAGAGAGCCTTGCCAATGTCAGCTAACTTTTCTTCTTCTCAAATGTCCCTGAGCATGAAACCAGAGTCGGTAAAACTGCATCATTAGAGCCGTCTTACACATATCCCACTTTAGTTGGGTTGAAAAACTGATCTGACAATCCAAGATGGAAAATTTTTTCTCTCTCTTTATTCCTGACATGTTTGCGACAGTGTCTTCGTTTTGGAATAGCTGAGGGGACTAACTCTTCAAGTCTTAACAGCTCTTTTGAAAAAGATCTCAAATGCATCAGTTGTTTGCGGATTTGGTTTTGTGTCAGTAAAGTGTTTCGAATATTTAGAATAAATACACTATATGTACGTATGTGGACACCCATGTATTTTTATGTTCTTTTGGTGTGGGAATGTTGGAAAAAACAAAAGGTTGGCAGCACTCAGTTTCATAGAAACACAGTGTTTCTTTGTCACGCATCATCTTTTAATGATGTTTCAACCTTTTTTCCACATGATTTCATTTTCCTGCTCAGTTGTCCACCAGGTGTGTATTAGTTAACACTTAGTTTGGTCTGGGGATGTTGGTCGTGGTTTGGGAAATCTTATTGGTAGATAAGAGAAGCATAGAGGGATTTCAACTTTATGGGGGAACAGTTCAGGGAAGTCTCTTCCCAGTTTCTTTTACAAAGACAGCTCCAAAAAGAAATAGTTTTTCCATTTTGGAGAAGAACTTGACTGGCCTGCACAGACTGACTTCAACCACATCCATCACCTTTGGAATGAAATGGAACGCCAACTGCGAGCCAGGCCTCATCAGTGTGGCAAATCCCGGCAGCCGGGTTCCCAGTTCTGGTGTTAAGTCTGAAACCAGAAGAAGTTAATGTCCATGATTTTGGAATCACATATTCAACAGTCAATGAGGGTGTAATGCTTTGGTGTGCATATACATTTGGTCATGTATTGCATGTGTGCAAAAATTATGACATCTACATACTGTATGCATAATGTACTAGACGTCAATGTAACGTCAGACAGATTTTAAAAATGAAAATCGGGTTGAAATCAAAATCCATCCCTGGCTAATTGACTTTGTGACGTTTAGCAGATGTTGGGAGTTGTCTGTATTTTGTATGTCAAGATGGAGTTGGCATGAGACGTTTGGAAGACGTTGGACTTTGGTTATTTAACAAAACAACATAAAACCAACAAAATATCATCGTCAGCTGTCGTCAGTATTCAGCGTGAGACTTTGTCGTGACATTGAATTTTGGTCACCGGACGTCACAACCTGCATTCAACCAAATATCAAAGTCTAACACAGCTGTCGATGGCCAGCTATGTTCCTGCAGGGTAGACACAGAGACCTGTTGACCAAAAAGAATATAGTGTTATGGGGTTTTATTTTCAAGCCCTTAGTAAGTCTTCACTTGACTCCCCTCCAGCTCCAGGGAGGGGAGTTCAGTTCTTGACCTCTGACCTCACCTGTGGGTTGAAGGAATTCTTCTCACTGACACCAACAGCAGATTAAATAAAGCATTTTTCATGGGTCTGAAGGCTCCAAAGAGCCTGCCTGCTCTGTGTCACGTTCCACAGCTGAGTGCCGTGCCTGACATCACATCCCAAATCTTCCACTACACTCAGACAGACTGACTCACAGGAATTTGATCCTAAAACCAGACGTTTTACCATGAGGAAAAAAACAAAGCTGACACCCCCTGTCTGGCAAAGCTACCTGCAGGCTGCTGTGAAAGGCTTTGACTTACACGTTGATGCACATACATTACATTACAATGCATTATTTTCTCCCACTTGTTACATCACATTGACTTTACTCTATCTGAATCTTAATATTCCTCATTTTCATCATGTTTATATTTATTATGTTTATTTTATTTTCACATCCATTAAGTCTATTAGGGTGACAACTAAAGAGGATTATATTATTATAGCACTTTTCTAAACCAAAGTTAGAAAGTGCCTCCAAGTAACAAATGAAAGAATGTAAATACTAAGTTTCACCATATATGCAATGTGAAAGTTGTTTAAGGCACATGCAAGAATTTTTTAAAAATATCATAAAGTTGTGAAAAATGCCCATCACAAAGGCAGTGTCCTGAGATAGCTTGTTTTCTCCAACCAACAGTCCAGAGCTCTATATATCACATTCAATATTACAATAAAATGACCCAGAAAATTCTCATTTGTGAAGCTGGAATCATCAGATGTTTGCAATTGTTCCCTGTGCAAAAAAACTTCAACGATTAATTGAGTATCAAAACTGTTGATTCATTTTCTCGACTGACTCACTGGTTCATCCACTAATTGTTTCATCACTAGTTACATAAACACGGTGCCGTCCAGGATGAAATGAATCATCTTGTGAAATATAGAGGAAAGAAAATCAGTCAGTTCAGTAACGAGTTTCATTTTTTCTGTGTTCATATTGGATGATATATTGTGATCGTATTGTATTGTACTGTTTTACATTCAAGTGTCCTGTTTCTTTAACTATATATTCGAGAACCAGTTGCACCCAGTTACATGTATTAAAGATCATAAGCATCATGTAGTTCAGTTAGTCTTTGATGACTCTCATACTGTTTATTGTTTTGTAGGATTATGTGATATTTTTTAATGGTGTTTAATGTTAATACCACTATAAGACAGAGATGTACAGTGGGAGTGAGGATGCAATCCAGAGGCCACACATTTAGACGTCTGGGTTTTACTGTGTGGCTACAAATAGCAGTAAATCAGATTAAACTGTGCTACTAATGTGTTTACTTGTAAAAATTAAACATTTCCAGTTTGTCTAAACAGTTAATGGGAGAACCGCATTAATAGCATGTTTTATAAACATGAAGCCACCCAGTCTGCTGCCTCAGCTTCCTCATCACACCGAAGGAAAAGTTGACGTTAAGAACTTTCAGCTGAATCTGTTGTTTTTTTAAAGAAACCAGAATAACCTAAATATGTGGTTTTAGAATATGATCGTTTCATCTTCTACAGTTCTGTCTTTTAACGGCGTCTCTGTTTTACACCTTCAGCAAGCGCTGGTTCGTCTTCGCGGTGGGGCCATCGTAGGCGAGGGCCGAGTGGAGGTGTTGAAAAACGGAGAGTGGGGCACCATATGTGATGATAACTGGAGCCTGCTGTCTGCCACCGTGGTGTGTCGAGAGCTGGGCTTCGGTACGGCCAAGGAAGCCCTGTCTGGAGGTCGCCTGGGACAAGGTATACTGGTTTTATACATCACTTTTATTTGTGCAAGAAAAGTCAGCTGAGTCTTTTTCCAACCTCTCCTAACTGCACGCTCTGAGGAAATGAACATTTTAAGGATTTTTAAGAGCTTTTCTAATTAAACTAATGCATGATAACAAGCTTGCAATCTAAGCTGGAGTGCTGCTCTCTCCCACCTCCAACTCTGCCACAACACCCTCTTCTTCTGTGGTAATCAGTTGCATAATGCAACCAATGGGGAAAACATAAAGACATGAAATGTGAGCAGCATACATGTACAGAAAACCTAAAAACAGCCTGGACTAAACACACAGTACTTAGTGCACAGACAGTCTTTACTGTTGGAACGACTGTCCGTGTATATTGCCTACATGGCATGTGATGGAAGGTTATGACTGTGTTGCAAAACCACATATCCCAAACATTTCAGACAGTAATTCTATCCTTTAATCCGTCCTCCGCATATCACCCGCTTTTGTGCCGCTGAGCAGAGTATCATGAACTCACAGACCTGATGGTAAAAGTGATTTAGCTTGGTGGAACAGGATTAGCTCCACAGTGCAGGTTCAGTGAGGATGGGAATCCGTTCCTGAGCTGGTATGAACTCACATATCTCTCTGCAAAGGACGCATGAAAACTCTTATGCGTTCAGTTTTGAAGTTACTGCAAGAGGGAAAAACAGACGGGGCAAACGTAGCTCAGCTGGACTGTGGACGGAGCCTGTGGAGAAATAAACCTCTAACCCATTGCTCTCTGTTCACATGTTTGGTAGAAAATGTGCTCTTTGCATGAAATTGATCACTATCTATACATAGAGGAAGTTTTTATTTAAAGGTCCCATGTTTGACACCTTTCTGGTCTTTTATTTGAAGTTTTGATATCTATAAGAAGATACATATGTGGTTTTCAGAACCAAAAACCATCTCAATGTAGTTTTACATCTCCTCTCTCGGACTTCTCTCTGGAGCTCTAGTTACAACAGGTGGGTGAGCCAATCAGAAGAGGAACCAAATCCTGCAAGGCTTGGTTGGTAGGTCCAGGTGGGCGGGGCTTGGGGCATGGCTGAGAGCTGTGAATGCTTTATTGTGACATCACAAAGTTCCAGAAGTCCTGGCGGCTGGTTTTAAGGTTCAGTCTCTGAATACAGGCTGTGTGCATTTCTCTGTGGACTGAGGCTTTGATACTTTCACAGTATTAATATAGAACCTAGACCTGCTTTACAACACATGGACATCTCACTTTATACAATGCAGAACCTTTAATATGAACGCTGCATACCACCCACTTGGGGTGTATGCAGTATAGTGAAAGTAGACTCCATGCTAAGACTCCAGCTGTGTGTGCCACTGGGTGCAGCAGGAGGCTCTGAGTAATGCAGAGTGTTGGAGCTGGATTGGGGCCCAGGTGAAATGTTGAGTGACAGAAGAGGCTCGGTGCTAACACTTGTTAGCAGGGTTTAGGTTTTTAGGTTATGGCAGTTGTTCCTCTTTGCAGACCACTTCTGTTCCCTTCTTTATAGCTGCGTTTCCATGTTCCCAAACATCAGCAATTACTTTGGTTTGTAAAGTGTCATCATAACTGATTATTACAAGCACAAAACTAAGACACAAGCTGTAATGAACCACAATTATCCTTGTTTACCAGACCAGGTTTCACTTTTTGGAATGAGCATGTATCATTTGAAATGTGTGAGGCAGGTTTTCTGCTTGCTGAGGGTTTGGGGTGGGTCCAGAAGAAGACGTCCTCCTTTTACTGACTAGTTCTTTTTCTAATAGAATCTTTCAGTCTGAGCAGACTCACTTTATGGTCTCCTCTGAGGAGACAGGCAGCACCGGCAGGCTGCGTGGAGAGTTTTACAGCAAGCAAAGCAGGTTTGGAAGTTGGGACCTCCCACCCAATTAAAATGCGCTACTGACCCATTTCTAAATTACACACTCTGTATTTGCACATTGTTTTTAAAGCCCTAGCTCACCTGTTAGTAAGATATACTATGTAAAAAGTATATTTCCCCCAAAGGGTATAGCAATAAGAATCCTACACATAATATCCACATATAATAATCCAGCATAATACCTCTGAATAGAAAGAGCTTTCTTTTTCATAAACAGGGACATGCTGTACATTGCTGCTCATTCCAGTGATATTAGACATGGAAAAAGTTGAAACAGAGGCAATGTTCTTTCTCCAGAATCATTTTCCATCCTGATTTCTCATCAGTGGCTCTCTGTAACTTGGTGGAGAAAAACAAAACCCAGATGGAAATAATAAGAAAAACTCAGATGATAGTAGTGCGCCACAACAGAGAGGGAAAAGATCATCATGAATGCCAGGCTTATTAGTGGATACCAGACATTTTAAAGATTTTGGTGACTCTTAAACTCTTAAAAATCTTTTATCACTTTTGATTACATTTTTATTTCATATCGCTGCGTATGGAACGAAAAATTATTTGTGATGCAGTACCTAACAAATGACCATGTGAGGGACATTCCCGGTCATTTTAAAGGGGGTAGTGCAACAGATACATTTCTGAGTGTCAGAGTGATGTGAGGGTAGTGGAGGAGGAAGTATTCAGGTACTTTACTTACAGTAAAAGTACTAAAATACCACACTGTGAGAATATTCCACTGCAAGTAAAGGTCTTGAGTTAAATTATGTGTTATCAGCAAAATGTATTTAAAGTATCAAAGGTAAAAATACTGATCTAGATAAGTGGTCCCTGTCAATGTTTTACTTTTATACATTATATTATTATTATTGCTGCATTAATGTGTGTGTTGCATTTAAGGTTGAGCTCATTTTAACTACTTTATATACTTTTGGGCAGTTTAATCTAAAGCAATACATCATATTCTCATATTCTGTAAAATCATCATACGTTTGTAGTGCTGCTGTCCTGTGAGAACCACATATCTCTTAAAAATCAACTGAGTCATGAGATGAGAAAAGCAGTCTGTTTTCAGCTTTGCGATGATGCATTTTCCAGCTGATTCAAGTGGTTTTCAATTTGTTTATTTAACTTAAGAAGTCTTTTCTAAACCCTTAAAGGAACATTTAAAACTTCAGTTTATCAGAAACATACACATTCAAAGGCAAGAAATTTGGAGATATGTACTCCAAACAAGTACTTCAAATTTGTACTTAAGTGCAGTACTTGAGTAAATTTACTTTGTTACATTCCAACAAAACTCCTTCTGGTGTCTGTGTCTCTGGACCTTTGGACCAGGCGGAGCTCATCAGCTGGTTAAGTAGCTTAAAGTTGGTGTTTAAAGGGCTTCAAATCATGTGATATTTGATATAATGTGGTGACTCTGCTGCTGTAGAGTTATTGTGCTTGTAGGGTTGTTTGATTAACTGACTACTTGTTGTATGTATGAGCATCTCTTTCCATGCTTAGTTGACCTTAGCTGCTGTCTTCTATTTAACCTTCCATTAAGAACACAGCTTGTGTCATCCTGATTATTTTACCTCGTTAAAGAAATACTGTAGCTGGACATGGTGGAAAAGCTCTTATTTGCTTTCTTGCAGAGAATGAGATGAGAAAATCAGTGACACTGTCTTACTTTCTCTATGGTAAATAAGAAGCTAAAGCCAGGGGCGCCCCAGTGGTTCACCTGGTGGAGCACATACTGAGGCTCAGTCCGAACCGCAGCGGCCGGCGTTGGAATCCACTCTGGAGCCGTTTGCTGCATGTCATCCCTCTCTCTCTCGCCTGACTCCGTCTACACTGTCTCACTGTCCCCGTCGCATTAAAGGCAAAACTGCCCAAAAAATAACAAAAAAAAAAAGAAGCTAAAGCCAGCAGCTGATTAACTTAGTGTAGCTTCTCCTGCTCATTATGCTAAGCTAAGTTTACTGGCTGTTGGTTCTAACATATTTACCTGCAGACATGAAAGTAATTACAGCAAATAAGTGTATTTTTCCCAAAATATCACTGAACTATTTTTTATTTTTTTTATTATAAAATTTTTGCTTTGATCAGAGCTGTAGGATGAGCTATCAGATGTAATTATCATTTGATTTCCTTTCAAAACGCTTTCTCTCGTCTGTGTTTTTCAGGTATGGGCCCGGTGCACATGAACGAGGTGGAGTGCTCAGGATTCGAGAAGTCCATCACAGAGTGCTACTTCAACAAGGATGCTCTGGGCTGCAGCCACGAGGAGGACGCAGCCGTCAGATGTAACGTCCCTGCTATGGGCTTCCAGGAGCGGGTCAGTCTCAACACCACAGTAACATACTCACTAAGAAACATGATCGAAATACAAGATGCTGCATGCAAGATCAGCTGTTCCTTCTACAGTATGTCTGCATGGACACACACACACAACATGCTCACCCAGATCTCTACTTTACTGCACACATTATCTAAATCTACTGTTTTTTTTTTTTTAACTTTGGACCATTTAAAAAATAGAAATTGTTTGTGAGTGGATTCAATCTTTTAAGTCGGCGCCTCTGTTGTATTTTTCATGACCTTAGCTGCGTCTGAGTGGAGGTCGTAACCCCTATGAGGGCCGTGTGGAGGTGCTGGTGGAGAAGAATGGCTCTCTGGTGTGGGGGACGGTGTGCAGTGAAGGCTGGGGAACCATGGAGGCCATGGTGGTTTGCAGACAGCTGGGCCTGGGCTTCGCCAGCAATGCTTTCCAGGTACGAGTCGCAGCAGCCAGGCTGGGAGGAAATCAGCCTCTTTGTGTCTATTGTGAATTGAATTTTGATTTTTGGTTCAAATGTTACAGCTTTTAATCGAATGTTGTTTAGAACAACAACAGTGTTCGATGTCCTTCCAGTCAATCAAACCTAGGCAATAAAAATCTAAATCTTATAAATTAGCTTTTTTGGAAGATCCAGATCTTCAGAGTCTTCAAAGATCAACTGACTGGATTGTGTGGAAACACTTTACAAGTCCACAATTTCTCACTAATTAACTGTAGGAGTTTTCTGGAAATAACCAAGTAATTTCTTACTAATAGGAAACAAAGAGACAAAGTATAGAGACAGTTATTTGATTTGAGGTTTTGAGAAGTTATTGATTTTCAGAGTTGTGCTTCATTTAAACTCAAATAAATTTAAATTCATTATCAATTTATTATTTGAAACATCATTGAAAGTAGCTTTTAGAAAACCACTTGTGTTGTCAATGCAAAACAGGATAAATTTATTCATATTTAAACAACAAGAAACTTTATTAAGTGACTGACTTCCTTGCTTTAGTGGTAAAAGTTGAACTTCAAGAACATTACTCTATTTTGTCATAGCAGCATTTTATCCCACAAATTGTTTTTTAATACTAGTTTTTATTCCACAAAACAGTTTATTCATGGACTGCAGCAAGACAGTGAACCTGAATTCATGTCACTGAAAATGACGTACACAAATGATGGATATCAGCACGTTGTTTTTTTGACCACTGGGGGTTTAGAAATATAAAAAACGCCAAGATAAAGAAACAATGAAAGTTGGACAGGAGAGGTTCATGTGCCACTGTGGAGCCGGTTGAGAGAGGAGACTGTGAAGGGAGAGACTCTGCCTCCAGAGGGTCACCACTATCTGCCAGCTGCACTGAAATGCCCCTGAGCGAGCCAAGAAAAACCCTACCTCCTCCAAGTTCCTAAATACACAGTGTGTATGGTCCAGCAGTGAAAATAAACCTGCCACATCCCCTCCTTCATTTCAGAGAGTTTTCTCCTGATTCGCTCTAGAAGGGTTTTTCCTTATATTCTCTCTTTTCCTCTTCTCTCCCTCCTTAGTCAAACTCAGCTTCCCTTTTTTCCCTTCCTTCCCTTCCCTCCCTTCCTTCCCTTCCTGCCTAGTGAACTGGGATCTTTGGTGTAGAGTGTGGTCTTCTTTAAGGGGTTTAAGGACAGGTTTTATTGACACACAACCAGCATCACATACTATAGCCCCAGCGCTGCACTGAGTCACACGTTAACTCTGTGTTTCTTGTGTCCAAGTGGCCAAACACAGGTGTTAACAATCAGTTTCATGTGTGGTTCAGCATTTTTCCATCCAGGAGCCAAAGTGAGATCCTTGAGAAATTTTCATCAAAGCTCATTTGAGTTTGAAATAAAATACTGCAGCCAACAGCTTTTTAGTCTCTACAGTCAGTCCTGCCTGTAAAAGTAATGAATGGAACATTGATTTTTGCTGCATAGAGACTGAATAGAATAGTAATGAGACTGAATTTTAAGCTGGATCTTTTCAATCTTAGCAGCTGAAAAAAAATGTAGGTCGAAAAAAATGGTCGAATCCATCTAAAAGCAATTTTGGAAAACCATTAAATCTTCACAAGTGAATGAGATTAACATGATATACAGTAATGTACAGGAATCAGCCTCAGTGGCTTTGGCACAGACACTTATACTCGTAGTCAGTCTGCCATTCTTTACATTTATCTTTTTCCTAGATAATATATGGCAGGTTGCAAGCTGTGAAATTATATGGCTATGAATATTATAAATGATAGATGACTAAATTAAAAATTTAAAGCGCTGTTTTCATTTTCATGTGTGAAAAGAGTTACTACCACAATTAAAATGAAAGGAAATTAAAACTCTGTTTACATATGTTTAATATCGGCAGCAATATACTCCATGCAGACCCACTAAGGACCACTGTCCTCTGTTTCCATGTGTATGTTGTTGCTAAGAGCAACAAAAAAAAACCTTCTGTTAACTGTTTACCCCTGCAGGACATTAAGATAAAGGAAACACAAACACAGTTTAAAGTCCAGCATGATTATAATAACAGTAGGTGGGGGTGAGGGGGTGGGGGGTCTCTTTGTGGTTTCTGTATGAGGAGAGGATGGTGGGACTGAGTGGGACTGTCTGTTGTAAGGGTGCATTTAGGCTCATTTCCTCATCAATAGCTCCATCACATATTAATTCATATATTATAGACATGAAGGCACAAGTTGCACAGCCCTTATTAGTCAGTTCAGGTTGCTCTCTATACTAATAATGGTAATTCCATTCTGTGCAGTAGCCTCCTGTAAAAAAATAGTCACAATCAAGTCATCTATTTGATATTGTGGTTGATGTTTGGGCTTTTCAACCATCAATACTAAATTCCTCATGATTCTGTAGAAGGGTACGGTGCGCCGCCTAGTGGTCACTGTGGAGAATCACCTTTCCTCACGACAAATTCATTATATCCTTAAAGAAGGGCCCAAATCAGCTTGGTATCATCACAGTAAAATATTCTATATTTATAGATGATTTGGAATTATAGTTACTTGTTACTTAACAGATTTTTATCATTTCCTAACTACAACATATGACCAGCCTATGTGTAATCTAATATGATGCCTTTTTCAGATGAAACTGCCCAATAGTGTCAGTGTTCAATGTGAGTTCAACATTATTCATTAGTAATAACCCAGGAATATAATAGACATAATAATAAAAACTTTCAAAAGGCTTATTTGCATAATGAGTATGTTTGCTTTTGGTACTGACGTTCAGTCTACTGATGATGAATTAACAGGAGTAAAATTTTAAATACGTGACTTCTACTCATTATTGTCACATCAAAGGCCCTAAACTGACACAAATTAGACCACAGACCCATCTGATACGATTTTTGCTTTTACATATGTTTTATTACAGAAAGGGTTTGAAACCCACAACCAAAATAGTCAGACATTCTGTTATTGTGTGACTTATGAATTGAGTTAAAGTGAAAATAAATGATTTCCCTTTTTGCTGAGGACCCCCAGAAACCTCCTCAAGGACCCCTGGGGGTCCCCAGACGTCATTTTGAGAACCACCATAGTGGTTCTATAGTGATACTGCCACTTTAGTAAAGTACCTGAAATATGTATTACACTGCTAGGGAAATGAGGAGTAATAATAAAACAATAAAGTAATAATAATGATGAATAAGCATGGTGCTTACATAAGGTTTCACTGCAGGCTTTGCAAACTGTTCAGTGAAATCCTCCTACACTTCAAAATAAAACTAAAATCCTGATTCTAGCTCTGATCAGTGAAGCTCCTTTATCATATCTGAAGTGGATTACATACTCATGCATACTGTATGTGAGGAGTCCTATCAGTCTAATCAAAAGGTTATAATACAATTTCCACATGAAACAATTCTACATTGTTAACAGAATGTAGTCAGTCAAAGTGCATCGTATCAGAGGTGGATGTTATCCTGATGTCAGCTGTGAACCGAGGGTCGTGTTTTCTCAACAGGAGACGTGGTACTGGCCGGGGGAGGTGAGCGCAGACGGTGTGGTGATGAGCGGCGTTCGCTGCTCAGGTACAGAGATGTCTCTGTCCTACTGCCTGCACCACGGAGCCCACCTCAGCTGCCCGAAAGGAGGAGGACGCAATGCCGCCGGAGTCTCCTGCTCCGAGAGTAAGACACTAAAATTCACTCACATTCATCTGTTGTGTTGTGTTGATGTAGATGAATGCTTTCAGAAAATGCGCTGAGAAATCAAGCAGTATTAACATCAGTAAAGTAAAACAAGGAAGTAATTGATATTTACACTTTTAATTATGCTTTGAACCAGAGTCACTGTCATTCAATTTGGCATTAAGCTAACACTCACACTGAGAAGCTTTCCCTCTTGCTCCGCAGACCGAAGTTTTAATTCAACAAATGAAATTATCTCTGCCACAGGAGAATCTCTGCCTTGGAAAAATGTTTGCATAACTGAAAGTCCAATATCCTCCTTTCAGAGCAGTTTGAAACAGAAACCACTCATTCACTTGCCAGAGTTTTTTTTTTTTTTTTTTGTTGCCAGAGCCATTTCACTTTGTTTAAATATGTTTTGTCTCCAACGGCTTCTCCATGTCTTTTTTCTTTGTCTTTGATCTTCCTGTCCACAGCGGCTCCTGACCTGGTGTTGAACCCTCAGGTGGTGGAGCAGACCACCTACATGGAGGACAGGCCCATGTTCATGCTGCAGTGTGCCTACGAGGAGAACTGTCTGGCCTCCGCCTCCAGCGCGGTTCCCGCCAACTCCTACCGCCGCCTTCTGCGCTTTTCCTCCCAGATCCACAATAACGGCCAGTCTGACTTCAGGCCTAAAGCCAGCAGACACTCCTGGGTGTGGCACGACTGTCACAGGTCAGTGTCACAGAGCACAAGGACTCTTTTATACCAGATTTCATCATATGATAAGTCCACTGGCTAGTAGCGATCTCTCTTCATTTAGCAGACACCAGAGCCTTGTGTGTGCTGAAATCGTCTGTTAAACCTTTCAGAGAAATTCTCTTCACTTTGCCTGAGAGGAGTAGTTCAACATTTTGGGAAATGAGGTTATGGAAATGTTTTGCTTCCTTTCCAAGAGTTAGATAAGAAGATTGATACCACTCTCGTGTGTGTGCATTAAGTACAGAGCTAAAGCCAAGAGGTGATTAAGAGCGATTAAAAGGGAATAAGTTAAAGATATTTAAATATAATTATGTAATATTGGCAGCATGAATATTAAAAGAACTTACACAATGCAGAACCATCTTACTGAACAATGAGGACGCTGAAACATATTGGAAATTGAAGATGCAGAGGTTGCCGTTTAACCGTGCGAGGCAGCTGGATTTCTCACAAGCAGAAATCCATCTTGCCAGGCTCCAAGCTACTATGTCATATGATAGACAGATGCTCCACCCAATCACCTGCCAAGTTTTTTGTTTTTTTTTGAACGCGCCTGCCCTTTACCAAAGGGTTTCCAACGAAGCTTTCCCAGATGGTTCTGTGTAACAAACCATCTGGCACATCAGGTTAGCTGACATTTATTTATGGAAGCACTTGTAACCGGTGATATTCCAGAAACATAAATCACATCTTAATTATAAATCACAAGCAAAAAGTCCTTTGAAAGATATTTTTATTTTTATGAATGATTCTTTTTTTATTGATTATTGCATTTGAACTTCATCAGGAGATGTTGTTATTCGATAATTTGACCACGTAATCGAAAAAGACATTTGAATGATTCAGAAACAACATCTCAAATTAGACATAATTCAAGAAGAGACGACTCAGCCCCCATCATGACCTCTTTCTGGAGCAGTTTTCCCCCTCCATACATTCTGCTGCCCTGTAATTGACCGTGTGGTGTAAGCTTAAGTTACTGTACATAGCTCTGCAGCAAGTCCAACATTTTTGTGGTTCCTATATTGGCTGGAGGAAGAGTTCACTGTTGGCAGCGTCACACAGCTACCAGCTTTCCACACATCAAACCTCTGGCACCTTTGACTTGCAGAACTTACTTATAGAGCACAGTCAAACTACTCAAAGCAATCTTGTGCATTACTGGTGCCAAGTTGCAATTTTCTTCTGTTGATTTTAATGAACTTTGGTGCACTTTCCTCAGCAGAGACTATAGAGCTACAGTAAACAACAACAAGATCCATTCTTCTCTTCTGTGTGTGTGTGTGTGTGTGTGTGTGTGTGTGTGTGTGTGTGTGTGTGTGTGTGTGTGTGTGTGTGTATAGGCATTATCACAGCATGGAGGTGTTTACGCTCTACGACCTGTTTAGCCTCAATGGAACCAAAGTGGCAGAAGGACACAAAGCAAGTTTTTGCCTGGAGGACTCAGAGTGTGATGAAGGTCAGACCCACAATAAAATCGTGAAAAAACTTTTGCTTCTCAGAAATGTTCACATAGTCAGTAATGGGCTTTTAAAGCTGCACCACCAGCATTTTGGGGAATTATCAACCTAGTCTGCAGTTCCCCTCAGATCTAATGAGGTTTTTTTTTAGCATCTTTCAGCTCATTGTTTTGGTTTTCTGGCCCATGAATTCACTGACTGACAAGTTCTTTAAAGCTATTTTCGGCTAAAACACTGATAGGCTGTGTGCTAACTGCTCAGCACCAAAGGACAGACACCGTTAGCAACTAGCAACTAGGTGAAGGCATTTTTCTTAGAAGCTGGGGAGACTGAAACACAAAGAGGAGGATATTGAAGAGGATATTGAATGTACATCCATCAGATGGTCAGAAACACTTGCACTGTGTCTGCAGAGGGTGTAAATGAGCAGCTGTTTGCTAACATGTCCACCATAACAACTTCATTAATGGTAATATATAGATGATGATATGTCAGGGTAATGTTTGCATGTTTGCGTGTCCGGAAAAAATAACAATGCAATTTCAAAATCTGATATTTAATTACCAACTAATCTTTCATTCTTAATGTCTCATTGTAGGTATTGAGAAGAGGTATGAATGTGCTAACTTTGGAGACCAGGGTATCACCGTGGGCTGCTGGGATACCTACAGACACGATATTGACTGCCAGTGGATCGACATCACTGACATCAAACCTGGAGATTACATTTTCCAGGTAGGTTCCAGGTTCCAGGACTGAAGAGTGGAATTTTCTGCACACTGCTGCCAGTAGTTCTGGCCTTTCACATTCATCTTTCATCTGCCTCCTCCCACAGATAATAATTAATCCCAACTATGAAGTGCCAGAGTCAGACTACACCAATAACATCTTGAAATGCAGATGTCGATATGATGGCCATCGCGTGTGGATGTACAGCTGCCATAATGGTAAGACCTCGCAGTAATTCACACGAATATCTGAAAGAGCTACTGTCCCTGTGATGCTGATGATCTAAAAACTGAAGCTTATTCTGCTCTTATGCTTCAGGTCAATGCAAAATATAACTGTAACATATGGTACATGTCATTATTAAGCACATATGGTAGCTACATTTATTTTTGATATTATTTCATGCCATTTCAGTGCATCACAGTAGCAGTCATGTTGGATTAAATGGTATTGATAAAATGTATAACAGTGAAATACACATAACATACCCATAACACAAAATACACACCAAGGCATTACATCAGTAATCTGTCTTAAAATGTAACTTTAAAAGAATTAAGACATAACTTTGTTGTTAAAGTAAAACTACAGATTCCTATCAATAGAAGTAACAGTACTGTCCAATTTAATATTGAAGATCTGACAACTTGCTTACACTGTTAGAAATACTTGGCAAGAAGCACAAGTGGTCAGGTTTAAACAAACCTGCAGGTTAGTCAGACTTATTGCATGTGGAAGAGAAGATGAAGACAAAGGGTAAAATTATTGCCAAAATTGTCAGTATCATTACCAAATTATAGGTTACACTAATTTGGTTTTACCTCCAGTCTTGTGTCAGTCAGATTTCGTTGTAGCGACTGTGCTGTGCTCCCATATCTCCAAAATTATTTTGGCAAGTAAAAAGTTATCACAACCAACAGGAATGATGACTAAGAAAATGAAAGAAGATGCAAGTTGTAATTATCCCCTAACTCTTATGTTCTAACTGAAAATAATTACAAGCATGTTCTAATTAAGTAACTACCAGAGGTCAGAAAACCTCAAAACCTCAGCTCAGTATTATTGTAGCTACACTAGCGGACTAGACTAGTTGTACTTCTACTTCACTGAGCTCAGATATTACATCAGTATTATGAAAACATCTGAATTCATTCCACTAAAGATGTTCTGAGATTCATTATTTCTGCAGCTGTTTTTTATTTACCCACATCACTCTGCAGTCAGTCTGTTTTGCTGCTTTAGCTTGATTTAAACTGTTTACCATTGATCTTACTGAGGTACTGGTCAGTTGATAGTAGTGATAGTTCATTAATTAAAAAATAATAATTATAATAATATAATTAAGTACTCTTACTGGCTTTATCTGGGGCTTTCCATTGCAACTCATGTACTTCATAAAGAGATGGTATTATAGGGCTTCAATCCTGGTCAAAATGTGTTATATTGGGGTTGAGATTATAATCTCTACCTCGCAAATAAAGACCGTAAAACCTGGTTTAAATTGATTAATTATTGTGTCAAATTACTGTTCTGAAGGTCTAGTATTTTATATATATTACAATATTTATGGTAACACCCAAATGAGACAACCATTCCACATTCATTTGTGTTTGTATTTGTATTTTTTATGCTAACTGGAGGCTGAGCATTGAGCAGGCGGAAACCCTCTACATGTACAGTATTAGGCTTGACAGTGGAAGTGTTTGAAACTGGTATCAGATATGGAACAAGGACAAAGTGTTTTAGGTTGTAACTGTCTGCCTGTGCTGCTCTGATAGGTGGCTCCTTAAGCACTGAAACAGAACAAACGTTCCCAGGCCTGCTCAACAACCAGGTGACCCACAGGTAAAGACAAAGCAGAGGACGACTGGCCGTTCCCTCCAGCAGGGGAGACCGTCTGAAGCCCACCAACCACTACACAGCTCCATCAGTGGTGGATTCTTCCTGCTAGCCCTGCCCTGGTCAAACCATCTTTTTTTTATGTTCCCTTCGTCCGTGTGGCAGCAGCTTTCTTTGACCCTCCACCCTCCTTCTTCTCCCAGTAGAAAGAATATTTGATTCTCCCTCCGTTCCGAACAGAGGCAGCTGCAGCCTCACCAACACTCCCTGGTTAAGATCAAAGCGAAGCTCTCTGTGTGCCCTGTGTGTTTTTATTTGAATATTTTGAGTGATGGAATAAACCTGCTGGGAGGTGGCAGGTATTTTACACAAGGTGTTTTCTTTGAAGTGCAGCACTTTAACAATGCCCTGCTGCTCACCCTGGAGAGTTTGGATGTCTGTGCCAGGTCGCCTGAGGATTTTAAGGAATCATCAATAGCAACAGCAGTGGTCTGTGTTCGGAAATAAATGCAGTATTCTTCCACTTTTCACACAGTCTCATAAAGTGCCTTCAACACACTGAAGTCCGCATACACTGAGGGTATATCACACAGGCAAAATGAACATTTCTTTTGCATGACAGTTAATTAAGCTGAAAATACAATTTGACATCTTCACTGAGGAGTTTGTGCAAATTAAGCTGGGGCACAAGCAAGTCCTCAAAAAGCAAACAGCCTGTTCATCGCAAGTGCTTATTACAAGTGCTACTTACCAGGTCCGCCTGTAAGACTAATCCACCAAGGCTGAAATGCTACATGCTAAAGTGCCGTAAAGTGACCCAAAGCTTTTAACAAAATAATAATAATTGGGAAATTTATTTCATATTTTCATAACATTTTGATCTGCTCTGCGTGAAGTCTGAAGTTCACATTTCAAAGAGCAGATGCATCAGGGGGAGGTGGTGTTGCAAAGTGAGTTGGGAGCAGTCTCAGTTTGTCCAATAATAAAATTATGTGATCAAAGAGATTTCGTTTTTTTACCAGCACTGGCCGATAGCCTTTCAGTTTTTGTAAACAGCTAGTTAGAAGTAATATTCTGATTCAGATTTGGGTAATTTTGTGTACTTTGTGTACCATTTGTCATTGGGGGGAAGATTATCTTCCGGACATTGTCTCGTTGTCTTGATATGTTCATAACTCTTTCCTCTTTATATTTAGCAATATTTTGTTTTTGAAGCTAACATGGGATCTCATGTTTCTTTTCTCCTTGTTCAGTGTCATTACAAAATTTCCCATATCAATTAAACCTACCATCTTTAAAGAGCAACTTAACATCTCCTAAAAATCTAAAAAGCTCGCCTCCAGTGGTTTAACATCTTATCTTGCTGCAGTGATGTAGAAGTGTACTCAGGGTGTGTCAGTACACCGTGACATCACTGTCGGGTGTGGTCACTGCTGCGACAGAACCAGGGATGTATAGTAAGAACTTGAGACTACAAGATGACGCCCACTCACAGCACATGTATTAGTGTTTTCCCTGTTTGTCCCACCTGTCTGTTCCCCCTCAGCCCAAAGACTTCATATTGCGAAGATGTCACACAGGTAGAAAGAGTAAAAACTGACCTTATTTGCAGGTAGAACTTACCTGCAGATTCATTTTGCTGTATCACTTTCTGGTGTGACCAGACCTCAAAGCTGAACAACAATCCACATTAGCTCTCTGGCTAATGTTTTCTTCATATCTACTGTACTAACGTGAACCTTAGTTTAGCTTAACTGCATGAGCTATCAACAACCAGGGCGGCTTGCAGGGTAGATAGCTTGTTAGCTTGTCAGCTGCGAGACATTGTACAGCTTAAAAATTTACCAGCACCACTGATAACAAAATGCAATGGGTCCTAGCTCGTAAACTAGAGTTACCAGAGTTTGTAAGTTTGTTTACATATGTGCCCAAGCCCCTTGCAGCTCAGCTGTCAATCAAACATGTGCACATGTACACCCATTCAGAGGCTAAGGGCATTTCTGCTGCTTCTCCACACAGCCTTCTTTCTTTTAATAATAATAATAAAAAAAAATAATGATCTTTCTTTTAAAATCACTTTGATTTGTGCTTTATGACACTTCAGACTATATGTTGCTGCAGTGTATCTTCAGTCTTCCACAGCCAGTGGCACTCTGTTGGTTCCGTTCTACAGTAACATGCTTTCAAACAAAGGAAAGGTTTTAGCCATTTCCCCCTCACTGCTTTATATGGTGTCTTTACACGGAAACAGAAGAGCTGATTTCCAGCCTGTTGTGGCACAGATAGCATCTTCTCTTCACAGAGAGAGCACCTGCAGTAGTATTTCTCCATGTTTAGACAGTCAAAGTTGCAGATATTCTTTTTCTATTCTCACAATTTAAATAACAAACATGCTAGATACTTAATGTTATTGAAGTTACATTTGTATAGGTTTATTCCTCGTTTTAAGAAAAAAACATTGTACAATATTGTGTGTGAATCCTATTTTATTGTACTTTTTATAATGGTGCTATCAAACTGGTCCTCTGTTTTCTGAGGGTACAGTACATGTTGAACAGCTACATTATGTATACTAACAGTATACTTGAACTGAGCGTAAGAAATAATGTGCTTTGTGCGTTCAACTATAATAAAGGTCAGAGTTACAGAGCAACCAATCTATGCTGTTCAGTGGTCTTCATTTTTCTTCATTATCACAGTAAAGGGTTTTGTGTGTGTGTGTGTGTGTGTGTGTGTGTGTGTGTGTGTGTGTGTGTGTGTGTGTGTGTGTCTGTGTGTATTTTTGTATGCATGTGTATGCATGTGCAGGGGTGTAGCAGAAAACTCTGGGCCCTATACAAAAGCAGTCTCTGTGGGCCCCCCTTCCTCTCTTGATCCATGTATCTCACACGGTTTTTTTTACAAATAATTGGGCGAACAATTGTACACATGGATCTGCAGTGGTTATTAGGCCAGTCACTAATGAACTGTTCATACCACATTTAAACAAGTAATAATAATCTGTGATATGTCACTATATGAGCTCACCTAGTCTCACATCCTCAGTAACATCAGGAGATGATGAGGGAGGAGTTGCTTTCCCTCAGCTTGCTTTTTTTTCCTCTTTCTTTTCTTTTTTTGTGACCCTGATTTCCCTTCCTTGGGGAAAGACATGACTATCGTGGTGCAAATTAGCCTCCAGCATTAGCAGTCACTCAACTCCTGATTAACTGCCTTACTGTTTTGGAGAATCCTCGTGCAGGGCTGGACTAAACCATTTTGGGCCTTTTGTAAGGGGTGACAGTGAGTCTCCACTATTTTTTTTATATACAAAATTCAGTCACTCAAATGTTTTATTCAGCCAATCTAAAGTTGCTTACAACATTAATTACTTAGAAATAAAAAATTGCAAACAAACAACAACTTTTTATCCCAGGCTTTTCGAGAGCTCTCCCCCCATTGGGGCCCTGGGTACTCAGTCCCACTTTTCCCCCCACTATGACACCCCTGTGCATAAGTATGTATGTATATATGTGCTTGAGTATGTAGGCACCACATTTTAACCAGAAGTTGCTACCACAAGGTGGCACACCAACCACCAATAAACACAAAAGGAGTAAAGACGCAGGTGGAGGCAAAACGCATTATGGCGGCCAACAATGCAGCTCAGGCTGAAGGCTGCTGTGTACACAGACAGTCACAGTCTAGTCTAGTCGAAAGTAAGACAACAGACATCACTGAAGTGGTAATAAACATCACAATCCTCTACACTGAGGTTACAGCAACACCACACACAAGTTCATCTGTTGGTCCAAGACACACCGAGCAAGAGAAAGAGAGAGAGGGGGGTACAGAGAGAAGTCTTTCCTTCTTTGATCAAACCCGCACACGCATACATACTCAAGCACACACACATATATACATACATACATACTCAAGCAGCACATACAGACTATGACGGGCCTCTGGCTGAAGACACATGTTAATACCAGGTCTGAACAGGGCCTAGGTTTGTTTCGTCTTCGCTTGTTGCTGTTCAGTCTCCCTTCAGGTGCTGGCAGGCGGAGTTGTCGTTAAGTGCAACTGAGTGCACCTGGCCAGTCAACCCAGCATGCACCCGACAATGTCTCTGTCTCACTACATCACTGGATTTCCCCTTGCACCACATTTTCTTTTGTTTGGTTTGGTTGTACCTTTTATTTTACATCATACAACACTACCTTTTCACACATCCACTCACAAACATTACTGACTAACAGACTATCCATTGCATACATCTAACTGAAAGGTTTGGTTTTCTTTTATGTAAATAAATATAATTGATTCTTCATTTGGAGCTAAACTGTGGATTTCCCTCCATTTGTCATGGCCTAAGAGTCAGGGCATGACAATACACACATACTCAAGCTCACACAGGCATAACTCTATGTATGTATATACATGTACATATGTATGTATATGCATGATAGTATGCATGTATGTGCGAGTGTGTAATACCAGTATATATGTATGTGCAAGTGAAAGTATTCAGTTTTGGCCTGGGTAGATAATCCAGCTTTACATGAAATATCTATAAATATGACTAATGTGTAGAAAAGCCCCTAAAACTGCATTTAGAACATGACACAAAAGAATATACAGATACAGTGCAATACAGGGGGAATCATTAAAATGCACAGGGACTTCATCTCAACATGCTGCCATCAGCTGGTGTCTTTGAAACACAGACTGTGCTAAAACATTGCTGTTTCAGCGGATTTCCCAAGAGCCCTTTTTTTTCCCCCGCACGTTTACCTGAGGTAGAAGAAACAGTCAGTCATATCTGGCAGCATTTACACCGCAACAGATGTGATTTTTAACCCCTCTCTGTCATATTTTCCCAAAATGCGAGATTCTGTGTACATCACATCTTTGCAGGCATATGTCTAACAAATACCCTATACAAAACAAACATAAACATTCGCCTCCAAATGTGCTTCTCAGATTTGATTTCAAACAATGAAAATGGAAGAATGGGCACAGCCTGTCTGCCAAAAAAAGCTAGCTCAACCTTACCAACAAAGAGTATATAAGCAGTTTATCATAGCTGAAAACAACCTGACATGCTTAGAATATTCAAACAGTTACTGTGTATCTGCACGTCTGGAAAAGTCTGAAAAAGGATGAAAAGGCATCAGAAGGTATTAAAAAGTCTTAAATTCAATGGACAAATATCAAATATTTTTCTTTTGACTGGCGTTGGCAGAATTGTTAGTTATAGAATGTTTTTAGATGTAAGAGTAGGAGACATTATACACCATAAAAACTACACCATAGAGACTGATAGAACAGTGAGTGGAGGAACCCTGCGTATAACACAAGAATTAGGGCATTATTTATTTAACGACTTCAAATAATTACATTCCACATGAAACATTTTGTAATGTGGTGTATTATGAAGTCAGTGTATCTCAATGAACATTTTCTTGGTAATGTTTAAGTATAAAAATGTAGTTCTGTCAGATTCAGAGCAGATTCAGAGCAGAGTGTGGGGACACTGAAGATTATCCATCTAGATAATCTCAAATAACGAAATAATGAAAGAAAAATCATTTTATAAAGGTAGACAGGAAGTTTCCAGGGAACTTCTCAAAGGTCAGTAGATGTGATGGTGCCTCTTGCACTAGCAACAGAACAACCTCCAGACTGAAACAGCAAATCTAGTTGAAGAAGTATAGGTGCATCACATATAAACGTCCTGTAAACGTCCTGTATTCAAATATAACTTGACCAAAAGTACAGACGTGTTATCATCACAATGCACTGCGGTATCAAAGGTATTAGAATTCTTCTTCTGTTGATGTTATCACTGAAGCATTAGCATAAAAACAGCTCATTAATGCTGTAGCAAGTGGGGCTAACTGGGTGAAAAATAAATGAACTGCATGTATAAGCATATACAGTATTACAATGCTATTGATGCTCAATATAACTACCAATGGCACTCACACATGATGGGTATGTGATAGGCAGATTTTTGTTGGCCTAAAAGTAGAAAAATTTTATAATGATATGGAAAAGTAAGCAAATAAATAGTTAAATGATTTGTTAAACATCCACCAGGCTATTGCTGACTGTAAAAAAAAGTTTCATTTAATTTAAAATAAATATATGAAATAAATTAAATAATATTTGCAAGTACTTTAACTATTAACTGAAAAAGACAAAATATGAAAAATCCAAATAATCAAATATTAAGGGGGAGATGTACTGTGGAAACATGAACCCCCCCATTCATTTGGACGAGACCTGAGTCTATTGTAAAATATTCTACTAATTTAGGATGTATTTCATGTTTGATTCATTCAACTGTAGAAAAAACTATGCATTAAACAGTTGTCCCAGAGTCTCTCTACATGATGGTCCAAAAGCTACTCTGAAACAAATGTATTTTCTTCATCAATTAATTTACATATGTAAGAAAAAATGGTTTTGGGCTAGAGTCTATAAAAAATAGGATTTCTAAATGAAGAACTTACTGTGTAAACTTCACTTCAGGTCCCCAACAACCATAATATAAAACACAAAGGACATGAACTGGTCATGTCCATGGTATCCATGGCAAAGGATTTTGTGTAGCGCAACAGGAGCTTAAAATGGTACAACACTGACCTCCTGTGGCCTGAAACACATTTTACATTTATTTTTTTTCTCTGTAGAAGAAGCTGTAATAGAAGTGAATGAACTGTCAGCTACTATTTTGTGAACTATTCCTCCATTAACTGAACACTTGTCCCGTTCTCTGTGAGAGAGCGCTGGAGTCTATCCCAGTATACGCTGGGGGAGAAGTGGGTTAGTCACAGGGCTTCCAGACAAATGTACATTCACAGTCTTCTGCAGGTATTTACAGATTCTGATTCACCAAACCTGCATGTTTCTGCACTATGTGAAGAAAGACCCACACATACATGTGCACATACACGTACACACACACACCCACACACACAAACACAATTCAGCTGCGGGCCAAAGCTGCCTCACCTAAACAATAGGAGTGGTGCATCTACATACCAAACGATCTTCTGTTTCCCCATCTGCCACAGACAGATCTCATTTCAAAGCCCACTGGCAGAGGGGAGGGATGTTTACAGTAAAGTGCAATTATATTTTTTCTGCGAGAGTACATCCAATAAACCATAAAGCCGATGAATTACAGTTGTCATAAGTACAGTCATTTAGAGCTGAGGCAGTGAGCTGCCCCAAATCTTTATGCGGTCTTTAAATTACGGCTGCTTTCTCTGTAGGAGAACACTAGCTGTCGATGCTGGAGTGAGGCCAGACATTCGATGTTTTGGGCAATCTGTTGTGCTGCAGTTGAAACTGAGCTGAATCACGCATTGGGAGGACCCAGCGCTGCTGCTTTCCCAGACACATGTGAAGCCTGACAGGTTTGGACCAATGCAGTTTCTCCTTCAGTCACTCAATCAGTCACACATGAGGGTAAGATCTGATATCTAACCAGCTGTGGTTCATATTTGATCTCCTTGCTTGTTAAAGATGAATGAAATACATATGATGTGTGGAAAAGCAGCAGTAGATGTGTAGAGTATTGAGGCTGTCAGAGGGCTGTTTGAATCACTCTGTTTTCGTGCCGATTAGCCCACTAAACATAAGATAATATCTCCCTGTTTCTTCAGCCTGAGATTTGTTTTCATTATCGCTGGATATAATTATCTGTCAGTGTTATAAGAAAACAAGGGAAGAGGCTCATTCACAAATCACATTACCACTGAGATAAGATTAACGTCAGATAATACAACATGTCTGCTGGGGTCATTCGCCTACAGCAGTGTCACATTAACACTCAAACAATTAAACAATTACTACATTAGTCAATTGTCAAAAAATTTGCAGAAGCAAACAAGCAGGCAACAATTTTGAATTTAATTATTCATTTAAGGCATTCTAAGGCAAAAATGACAAACATTTGTTACAAGTAAATAGTCTAAATTATTTTTTTATGATTGTAAAAAAGTAAGAACTCTCAATACGTCAACTTGTGTAACAATAGGCATTTAAAGGGGAACTCCAATGATTTAAAAAGCCTGTCTCCAGATGTTGTATGTAAAAAGTTGCCTCACGTGATGTCACTTGAGTCTGCGTTGGTTGGGACTGAGGACCACAAGTTTGAAAATACAAAGATGCTGGATGTGTGGAGTTAAAAAGAAGTGAACTTTCCAGAGCTCTGTAGCTGCTCCTCATCTCAAGGCTACAATAGCTGCTGCCAACATAACACACAATCAAACCAACAATGGGTGGGTTGCATTGTGGGTAATGTAGGCAACCAGTTTTGACAAGGAAAAAGAATGTGTAGAATCAAAATAACAGTATCTCAAAAGACTTTTTTTACAAGAGCAAAATGAACTGGGATTATTTACATTATTGTTATTATTATATTACAGATAAATTGATAAGAAAAGAGATCATCAGTTACAACCCTAAATATTTAATTGTCAACATCATAGCATGTGTGGATGTGATCCTTATCTTTGTGGACTTCATTAGTCTTTGTCCTCTATATATTGCCATTATAGTTTCTGTATGCAAACTTCATTTAAGACACTTAAATGCTAATTCCTAATAACATTTCTGGTGTATTTAGCCTTTCCATCTGTTGCTTTTTTCTAACCCTTGTGCATACCTTTATTCATACATAATAGACATACTGTATCCCTTCATGCAGTATGTGGGTGTGTGTGTATGTATATGTAGGTATTTTACTAACTTTAATAGTAGAAGGATCAACATCCATATGTTTAGAGAAGCCACATTTACAAAGAGTAAAGTACAGTGAGCTACTGACAAATGGAATCAAGTAAAACTGCACACATTCAGAACGATCAAATATGGACTGAAGACTGACACATTTACTTTTCTTCCACAACTATCACACGTTTCTCAGCTTTTGGATATGAACTGAAATAACTTAGGAGCCTCTTGCGCCTCAGCTTCTCTCAACAAGACGCAGTTTGTGTGAAGACCTTGTTTGCACCTGATCATTAAATTGCTAAAGTGAGTCTGCAAGCCTTTTTTCTATGAAATGGAACAATGAGAGATTAAAATATGAGGATCTTGCATAATACACTTTTATATCCAAAGGATTATTCTTCAGACCTGGTGTTGACAAAGAGATTTTTGTCTGACAGACATGCTTGAAGAAATGTCACATCTTGTTCAATGAGGCCACTGAGAGCTGGGATCATGTTTTATATGTGTGTGGTTGGCAGAAAGAGGAGGGCAGTGGGGTCCCACTGTGGGCCTGATCTAAGACATTTTTTGTGAGTTATTAAAAGTCAATTGGTGTGCTTCCATATCCTAAGATTCTTCGTCCTTGGTGGTTTGCTTTCCATATCAGAAAAGTAGTACTCATTTTGAGGCCTCCTCATTTTGGGCTGCAGCTTTGTATAGGAAGCAAACTGCTGAAAACCATGATTTATTGCAGAGGGAACGATTGTAAAACACAGTATATCCATCTAATGTGAATCGTTTCTTGAAGGATTTATCAAATTCCCCAATTGTCTTTGTCAAAATTCCATGACATTCCCAACAAATAGTGATGGCCAAACCATGGGAGGGAAATATGATTGGGTTTTTTTTTTCCATTATAAAACAAAACAATAATCATAATCATCACATATTATTAAATAATTTCCCTGAGATCTGAATGGCATCATTTCTATTCTCCACTTCGGCTGCTTTTGCACAGTAACAGGATAGTTGATTTTATCCTTTACTGAGCCTCAACTGAAAACTTTGACAACCCTCTGTCAGGAGATCAGATTTCCACAGAAAAACCCAGGGTGCTACTCTGTACCAGGTTCAGGTCGCAGGGCGGGTTATTGGTTTAAGAGTCAAATAAAAAACAAAGGCAGTAATGAGGTGAAACACACACACAAACCAATATGTGGCTAATAAAAACCCCATTAAATAGAAAAGGCAGTGATGCTGTGAAGATCAGGAGGAATGTAGTAACTATCAAGATGCCGCCATTAAGATTTTAGAAAATATGTTTCAAATTATTTTTGGCTCAATAGTGTGCTTGATCATGAAAGTTCATTCTTGGCCTTGGAAATCTCACAGGTGGTATATGTAAGGTTGTGAAGCAACTTACATGTGTTAATCACTGCTTTATTGCCAAGGAATGCCAAAGATTGCCTGAGTGCCTCTCTCCCCTACGCACCAACAGTGTGCTAACATTAACTCAGAAATGCTAACGCTAACATCAACAAACAACTGGCTCCGAGCACAACACAGACAAAGGCTTTATGACAGTGTAACTTTAGTTACCTCATCTCTCAATGTGATGCTGGTTAATCACGTTCGGTCTTGTTTATGTCACGTCAGTGTTTTGGCCAACAGCGAGGTGGCTTACTTACTTGTGCCTACCAAGCGGCAACCTGAGAAATGAAACCAACACTATGCGCCAAAAACTGCAGTTCCTCTGATGGCCACTCGAGGCTGGCTCCAAAAATGAGTCAATCCTGTTCAACTTTACAACAAGAAATAAAGATGTTTACAGTCTGGTGCAAAAAACAGTTTTGGTCTCTATAGCTAGTTTCCTCCTTCATAACAACTGTACGGGGGGAGAATGTTTATGAAACTCACTTGTTTAAATGTTATTAAAGCTTTAAGTTATGCATAACTGAGGGCGTATCGCGTCGAGTGATAGGTGGGTGAGCCTATGCCTGCCACAAACTGACATGCACTTGCACTGCTCTATGTCCATTTGTGGATTAGCCATTGGTTAGGGTGGAGTCAGGCACTGCCACTCTGTGACATCACAGAGGCTACATCCATCTTATATATTATCTATGATGCCTAGTACAAGCATGTGCACGAGCAACAGGAAGCTGACAGCAGTTCACTTTATGGCCGCAGGTGTCATTAATAACAAGGGTTTTCTGAATGTTACATATAGAACCTTTAAGTTAAGGTTCATTTTTGTAGTGTTGTCTGTAACCAGCATGCACTTGGTGGGCACCAGAATAAAGACAGGCAAATCACCAGTTTATCACAGGGCTATCAACACAAACCCATGAACTCCTTTGTGGCCACAAAGTTAAGTTTGCATAGAAAAGTTGTAGACAGCTTCTCTGAATGACTAATGTGTTGTCAAGTCTGACAGGGCCCCAAGGCAAACACTATCTCTGAGTTGAAATGGTACATTGTAAGTTTGTTGAGCAGCAGCCAGAAAACAAAGACACATGAGCCTGGATTACAATGCAATGCGCTAGTACGGCCATTTTTTGGCTTCCAAACACAAAGAGACGCAAGACAAAATACTAAACATGTGATTTGTAGTGGCTCCTTATAAAAAAAAAAATTTAAATAGTGTAGATGGGATTGCCAGTGAAGTTCACTGGTGGAATGTGACATATTGTACATTATGCTGGGCAAACAATACCATTAAATCTCAACAAGGAACCAGAACTCCTGTTCTGTTACATAGTAACACACAAATGTACAAGTCACATTACTGAAAAAGCCACCTGGGGCCTCTGGGGCCTGAGGCCAGTTGCCCCTTTGTCCAGTTGGTAGTCCAGCCAGTATTCAATAACACAAATGTACTGTACAGATGTGATCTTGATGTAATCCTCATTGCTGAAGAAGTGAAAGATAAATTAAAAGTACCTTCCAACAAATTTATTATATACCACTAGAAGCACTGTTACTGTTACTGTTACTAAAAATAGTATTTGTGGGCTACAAATCAATCTTTCTTTAGGTTATCTTGCTTTCCTTTGACAGAGATCAGTTTGCAGACCCAACTTCTTAAACTCAGGTTCACACAGTTGAAGGATGGCTCGCCTCCTCGATGTATCACTCTGCTGTTCCTGTGAGAATATAACCTCGTCTGGTCAGGGTTCATCTCCACTGTGAGAAATAGTGCAGCTCTGGAGGAATCAGGAGAGCTTTCCTGCTATATAACTCTTAAGAGACAACACAGAATACCGCCCTTGAAAGGAAACCAAGTTGAAACGAAGCCCTGGAGTTCATTCAGCTCTCAGTTTTTAAGTTTTCTGCATCTAAATCATAACAAGCATCAGGAATTGTGTCTCATAGCACTACTCTCAAGTGTGTAAGTGTGTTTGTAAAACGTAAACTATACATTGACTGTCAACACCAAAATAAAACCAGAAACCAATATGGTGTAAAATATGTACAAGTTTTATTTATGAGGATACAACTTCTGGATTAATAAAACATTTCAATTTCAAATGAAAAAAGAACCTAGAAAAGTTCGATTAACAGAACTAGATAAATAAAGTATGAGCTAAATCAAAATTATTAATGAAACTTTATTTACAAAAATCATAATTCAAGATAAGTGTTCATCCTTTAGCTTCTGAGCATCTGAACATGTCCAGCCATGTGTACAGCGTATTCAACCTTTGCTAAGGTTTCACTAACATAAACCGAGCAACATAAACTCCTGCCTAAATAACAGACAGTTAAGAATCATGAAACATGGAATTTAGTTGCTTGTCAAAAATCCAGAGCTGACTGACATAATCTCACTGTTTAGACATGATCACACCAGAAAATGACACAGTGAAAATACTTGGTATGGCTTTGTGAAATATTAGCTCTAGAAGTTTTGAGACATAGTGACCGTACTCGCAGGGCTAGCTGCTGAGCTAACTGCCACTTTTCTTCATTTTCTCTGCACTGTTCTGTTTCCTACCCCCTGACATTCTGTGCACACTTTTCTTTTACTCAAAATGACAAATAAAGCACAACGACCTAAGCTTATCGTCTGCTGTTTGCTTGCTAGCTTAGCTCGGCCGCTAACAGGACACTATGGCCCTGTTCAGACCTAGCATTAAAATGGGTCTTCAGTGATCCAATCATAAGTGGTCAGCTTTAAACATGCTGGCTTTAAAATGCATCTTCACATGCGTCTCGAGTGAGCACTTGTGACTGGATCTCACTTCCCCGCTTTATGTGCAAATAAACAGGTATGCGTTGTTGGTTTTAGCCAATCCGACAGAAGGGTCCGTTGTCAGTTTATCCAAAAGATGTATTTGTACTCCTGTCTCATAACTGTCTGCAAACCATTCCCCTTCTGTGGAGCAGTTCATACTCTCCAGAGGAGGGTTAAGTTAAAGTGAATGGTACAACAGAGGTAAATAAGCTATGATTGCTTCCTCAATTTTGGATCTTCTCGATCCAGATCTCTATCCCTTCAAAGCCCGTCACTGTCAAGACTGTTTGCTATTGGTCAACAGAGCATATTGGCAGGAAAAAGTTCACCAATGTTGAATATGATGCATATTTGTGCTGATAGACTTTTTGCCCCCACGAGTGAATCCACTAATCGTGTCAATTCGCCTGGAAAAACTGCTGAAAAACTTTGCTGTGTTAAATCCTGGTGTGACCGGGACCTTTAGACTTACACAAAGGCACCATTCAAAGCCATTACAGGCACTGTCAACTAACAAGAGCACTTTAAATACTTCGGTCAAAGGCAACCTCACTAATATATGAATTATATGCTTATTAGACATGAGTCAAAAATCAACAGTAGTCACCAAACACCATGCATAGCACAGTTTACAAATAAAAAAATAACCATGACATGAGGAGTTGCATTAACAATAGTACATGCTAAATACAGAGCAAGCACAAGTTTTGGCTTTTCAAGAAGCAAAAGAAGAATCTCTTAAATCAATGCATAAATAGGAAAGATGTACATGAATATTTGAATCTGTGACCGTTTGACTGGAATGTTTGGATCCCGACAAAGTTAAGCAGTCACAGTAGTAAATATAAAATCAAACCCTACAAAAGGAAACATGCAGAAAAGGTCATACACTAAAACAAGCACCCTTGCAGGAATACATGAATAAGAATAAAAGTACAGAAACTGTGAATAGCGGCACATGCAGAAAACCACACTGATAACTAGAGTTCCTTGTTTCTGTGGTTCAGCCAACACAATCACTTAAAGCATGGGTGTGGTGAGTTGTATAAACCTTCATAAAAATAAGTTACCCTGTATTTTGGCTTCATTATTCAAAAAGGAATGTCCAAAAAAGAAAGAAATATAGAAAAGTTCACACTTCCAGAAATACTCAAAAACTTGAATGTCAATAAATTCTGTAAGTCAGTTAGTCCAGGTTTTGCATGACATCCTTTGCTTTTCTCAAACTTAATACAGGTTTATAACAGACTTCAACTCAAAACTATTAAACGCAGACAGAGATATCACAAATAAAAATAAAATAATACATGAATAACTGTCGGGTACGAAATCTCAAACTCGGTCACAAAGGATACTCTGAATGGGACATGCACACGACGATTAGTGGAAAGGGACAGATTGTAGAGACGCAGTATTAAGGGTGCAGGTCTGGGTGGTCCTCAGGGAGCTGGGCACTGGTGCTGGGCGGCTACGCTCAGCTAAACAGCTGTGACAGAAACAGAAAGATTAGTTAGAAACGTACATGTAACTGATAACAATACCAACGGCTCTGTTGCATATAGATGTACTAGTAAACCGTAGCAGTAGTCAGCATGCTCAGTAAGTGGCCCTGAGGTGGCCCAACTAAATAGAATGCAGTCATTAATGATGTGAGACTTCCACTTGAACTGACATTCAGCTGCTCTCAACATGTTGACTTACATTTCAACAGTTTTATCTCTTTCTCTTTACCTGATACTTCAGCTCACTGCACCTAAACTCCTTTCAGTACTTAATTAACCATCAACCCGCATATAAGTTGCTTTCAGCTGCTTATATTTCAACTGACACTTTATCTTCAACTAATGTTTGACTGATTTTAACGCTAACTATTAAACTGAACACCTAACTCTTTTTAAAAGGTCCTATCTTTTACACTTCTCCAGTGTTTTATTTCAAGTGTTGATCCATAAGAAGATATATTTGTGGTTTTAAGAACCACATCAATGTAGTTTTACATCTCCTCTCTCAGGCTTCTCTCTGGAGCTCTAGTAAACAAAAGGTCAGTGAACCAGAGGTTGGCCTCTTAAAATATACATTTCAACTGACACTTCAAACCCCTTCAGGGCTTCAGCTGACAGTTCAACTACTTAAGTGCTTGAACTCTCTCTCTACTACATTTAGTTTTAAAACGCATCTCTTTTGCTACGTTTTCACCTCCCGTCCACACTGCTCCGCAGTTTCCAAGCCCTGAAACCGGAGTCTTTTGGTAACACTGCTGGCCCCGTTATAGTTTGAAAACTCCGGGGTTGCACTGCAGTGTGGACAGGCGAAAACTAAGACCTTTGGAACCGATGACATAGACACACACAATCGCTCCCTAATTGGGCCTTATCTGCTGTGACGAAGCTCATCACTCCCCTGTTAAACTGACCATTCACTTGCTTTCTGTGCTTTCATGTCCACTGCTTTTATCTGAATCTTCCACTGACAGTTTGGGTTAGCTGTTAGCAGTGCATTTGTTTTTATCACCTTCACTTCACTTGAAACTTAATCTTATTGCAGATATCAATCTTTAACTGACACGTCAACTGATTTCATCAATAACACCTCAACAGACTCCTTTCAATGCTAAAGCCTCAACTGACACTTCAGACCCTTTCAGTGCTTCAACTTCTGCACTTTTCCAATGGTTTCAGGTCTGCATTAGCTTTCTGCATTCACATAATTGTGGGGATGTTAGCCGAGACTCCGGGTCACACACTGTGGGATGTGGTTCCTGACATTAATGTACCGTCACTTTTTCTCCGTTTTCATCTACAGGAACTTTTTAGTTGGTGTATTTTCCCTTTACACAGAACATAAACTGTCTCTGGCCTGACTGACACTGATAGTTATTTACAGTTCTGTTTGCTGGCTCACTGCAAACAGAGCCCTGAGTGAGCTGGCACCGTTTACACAACAAGCATCAAATACAGAGAGCGTTTGATTTCACTCTTATATAAGCACTGGTATCAAAAGCAGGTATTGTTCTGTCAGGTATTTATAATGAATGTGTTAATATGATCTATGCCGACCAAAGTGCTGTACAAACGCTTTATCAAATGTGAAAAAAACGCCAATAAAAATGTAAGCTATGTATTTCAATGAAAAATGTCCATTAGTTCGGCCTGTAAAAATACTCTTTGCAGGTGAGGAAAAACTCGTTTCAGGGAATGAAAAGAACAACACACGAATGATGAATACCATTTATGTAACCGCCTTGTCCAACATTCCCCACTGACACTAAATATTCTCATGTGTGCAGCCTAATTTACAGGTTTGCTGGCGTGCTGTGGCCAGTCGGCGAGTTTGTATGCTGAGCCAAACGACACCTTATCAGGAGCAGAATGTCTTTTGGACAAGATGCCAGGACATCGACTTGGCGCCATCTGCCTCTGAATGAATGCTCAGCAGTCAGGAGCTGTGTGGGCCAAGTCTGGTTTTGCTACACTGCAGTCATCCCACTAGAGGCTGATCCATCACACTGTTCAGCCCTTCACCTGGTAGGCTCCCAGCCAAAACGAAAAGTCCCGCTTTAAACTTGTCAGGCCTTCAGCCATAATGGGAAAGGCGAGAGGATGGGAGAGGACGGTTTGATAGGTATGTGATGATGGTTGGTGCTGGTAATATTTGGATCCGGAGCTACAGGAGACAAATTATCAAGTCAACTTTTATTTATGCTTTCCCACTTTCAAGCCAAAAAGGCTCAAGCAATTAAAACTAAATTAATAATAAGTAAAAAAAAAAAAAATGAAGCTTTAATTTTTGTGTTTCATGTTTATCAGAGTGGAAAGTCTCCAATTGTATCAATGAATATTTTATATATTGACAACTGTTCCAATGGCTATGTATAGTAGTATGTAAAAAGGGTAACTTGTAGTAATGAACCCACAATAGTCAGAACTGTGATCCAACTCTGCAGCAAACAGCCTATCTTTAAGATCCAACAGTCAGCATTACTTTGGAATCATGTATCTGACCACCTGATGAATAATTCTAAACTGCCTCTCCTTTCAGCTCTGTTTCAGTCTTCAACACCTGAGAGAAGTTATCTGTCACTACGGCAATTAAATGCTCCATTATGTTCAACAGCTAGTTGTGTGCGCTGGGTTTTTAGTGCTTTTTGGCTGAAACCAGCTGCTGACTGTGGCTGAAACCAACACTGAGAGCTGTGGGAGTGAATCAAAACAGTAAAGTTGTGGGATGTAAAATAAAAACAAAACTGAAAGATGTTAAAATGCTCTGCAGAGATAATTCTTTGTGGGATTGCTACTACGATACATATAAATATTGAGTAAAGCTTATTTATAAAAAAAAAAAAAATAAAAAAAAAAAACTCAAATTGTGACAGAGCTTAATAACGACTTGATGGCCAATACAACTTTTAATTAAAAGGCTGATATTGGTCTGATAGGTGATGTACCAGTCTAAGCCTGGAGGAGACAGGAGATGAGACCATGCAGGATTAAGAGGTTTAAACACTGGGTGGGATGGATACACTGTATGTATGTTCAGTCTGCTTGCTGGCTGTGGTCTACCTCGTCTTTGACCATGGCAAAGCTCCAGTGCACTCTTCTTTCAACAGCTACTTATAAAAGAGCTGGGTTTACATTCCTCAACAGGACATGTGTATGTATCGAGGCGCTCAGCAGGAATTTCGAACGAGAAGATTAATCCCTGTATACATCTGTACGGTAGTAGGGCAATGGTTTATCCATCCACAAGGATCTATGGACTCAGAAATTATGCCAAATACAACATTCCCCATAGGTCAAATATTTATGGGGTATGTCTTACTCTGCTTGATGGTGGTGTCTACGCTACAGTGGAGACTGGGGTCTGTCCAGCATCTATACAAAGTACTTTTCAGTATGATTTGAGCCCAGCAGATCTTAGGATGACACCACACAATGAGCTTCACTGTCTTCTTCTGTGCACAAGAAAAAAGAAGGGATTTACTGTAACAGAGATTTAAACAATTTATGGGATGAGATGTTCTCCTGAGTGAAAGACCATGAGGCGTCCGCCAGGGCGAAAAATCTGAAGATATATAAAAGCCATCTGTGGTTCATGATCAGACTGTGTTGTCTCAGAAGGTTTTAGCATTCAAACAAAACAAAGTAAAAAAGTGACATGGAATGACAACTGCTGAGGAATGCTCTTAATGAAAGTAATTTTATAAGGTAAGGTAAGGAAAATGAGGAAGACAATATTTCTATGAAAAACATTTCCCAGAAAATGTTTGTGATCAAATGTAAGACACAACCTCATATAATCATTTTTAGAGACTTCCTGGATGAGCTGGTCTTAATAAGCTCTTATTTGCAGTGTAATAAAACTGAAGGACAAAAAGGAAGATTGGAACCATCAAAAAAGGAATAAATGTTTGGGACGTATGCTGGCAGATGAGAAATTCTGCATCAAGGTGACACTGAATCGTTTTAAAAGAAAATGCAGGAATGGTAAATGTAATTTGGTCCTATGTTGCTGTATGTGTAAGTTGCGCATCACAGCATATAAGTGAATGTAACCAGTATATGACAGACTTTCATGATTGTTCATTCAGGTCCTTTTTACGCCATTTGCTTGACAGCATAAACCCAAGAGCCATCCTGAAGCAGCCCTATGTTCTTTCAGTTAGGTTACAGTTATGTGTCTCTCTCTTTATCTACAATAGCTTTACAGTACGTCCCTCACACCCCCTCAGACACTGTTCTAAATTTAAGAAATCAAAATGCAGATACAGTATGTCTCTGAATGAACAGCCGTTCCTGGGAACCTCTCCTCCATGTTCAGTCACAAGCAAAGTTTTAAAAACAAAAAATAGTCAAAAGTTGCGACAAAGTGCCAGCTGCCACCAATTATGACAAGGCTTCCTGAAAGTGGAATTAAACTTCACACGGTGAAGAAGTCACCCGGACTCACCAGAGCTTCTGGATGAAAACATCTGTTAAATGATTGTTAAAAGTTAAAAAGTTAAAAATAAGTTAAAATCTTAGCCACCGGCACGCAATGAAAACCTGTTGTTTTATTATGGTTAAAATAACAAGGTCTTCAGATGTTACTGTGCAGTACTGCACCGAGTTAACACTGAATATGTTTTTACAAAGACCAAACCCTCTTACAACATAGACCATCGGTTGTGTGTCTCTATTATCTATTGTCTGAAATCTGTGGGAGTTGAGATTTTAATGACTATGAGCAAGACAGCTCCTGTACCCTGCTGCATTCATGTCTTTACAATCTCAGTAAATACAACCTGCCTACTCAGAAGAATCATTCACATTAACAACATGAAATGTGAGAACAATAATAATAATAATAATAACAATAATAATAATAATATGAAAATGTGAAATATCCACTGCAATTTCATTTTGGCTGATTTTAAATTAATCATTGCAAATGTAAATAACATAAGGAAGCTTTGTAGACAGAAATATAACATGCATTAACATTTTATGCTATTCTTTACATTGTGTGTCTGACATTAAAGCTGTAATTCTTGCTTTCTACTTTGTTCTCAGGCAGCAAACAATGCTTTCAAACTGAGTCACCATATCTGACTCTCCAGCTTCCTCCGATTTGACATGAATGCAGTAGAAGCCCCGGCAGCAAAGTAAACAAGGAAATGGGCTATTTTAACTAAAATGTAGTAATTGTTTGCTTACAGCTACTTAAATACATGTAACTGTAGTAAGAGTGCTTCAGGCACTTCATCACTTTTTGGGCTCAGCTACTGGGCTCCATGAGTTCAGATCATAACAACCTCACAATTTTAGACAATGGTGTAAAATGCAGCTTCTATTATGACTGATGGTGTCTAGATGGAGCCACCTTTATCCACTGTAGCGTGGGTAGCCAAGGTTGTGTACATAAGAATGTAGGGAGGAGTGTAACTTAGAGGAAACTGTCCAATTCCAGTTCCAGAAAAGTATGAGTGAAGAAGGACAAAAAGGAAGACACATATAACAACAGTGAGATAAGGACATGTGACATCTGGTTTATATACACCCTGCTGGACAAGACATCCCCAGAAACTGGTGTGAAACTATGATTCACTTGTTTTGTGCTGCTCATCATTTTCTCCTTGGCACCAAGCTTTCAAATAAATACTTGTGTTCGAAACATCTGAATCTGAACTCCTGGTGAACATATTTCTTCAGGTCGCAAGATTTCAACCACAGTGAATGTGTGCTCTGGACAGTGGACTTTATGTGCATAAGTGAAGTAAGTGACAAAACACTGAGCAATATGCAACGTGAAGTCGTAAAGTAAGCAGGATTATCCTTTAATCGCTGATAAAACAACCCTCCTAGCGGTAAAGCAGTTAATTGATATTACTCACAGATGCTTTTAACTTTGATGTGGGATTTTTCTTTGAATGAGGAGGCATTCTGCATGTCAGTAATGGATAGCCGGGCACGTAAAGATTGAACCTATTTTATTACTGCTCTTTGACTCGAGCCCCTTTGTTTGTAATATTTCCCAAAAATGAATCAGAAAATGTGTTTTATAATTAAAAAAATGTCCTTGGATGCTTACAAATGTTGTTTGTGTGAGAACATGTTTAACAGGCCAGCATCAGGTCTGTACTAGTAAGAATGTGTAAAAAGGGAATGTTAATTATGACACTCACCGTGGCAGCTTTTATCTAGTCAGACTTCTGTCTTCAAAGATGGTGACCTCAATCTTAATAGGATTCAGTCAAGGAAAAACATCTGGAGCAAGGTTGGCTTCATTTTACATTTAATTACGACCAACTGAAATTTGAATTCTCCTCACTTTTTACATGAGGAAATATACACTATAATGGTACTGAGCAATTTAAACTGAAGATGAAATGGTTTTTGGTGATTATTGTGGAAAAAGAGACTTTCCTTCAAGCCTCTGGGCAGGTGTTGTTCAGGGCTCACTAGGTGTAAATGATTCCTCATTTTGCTTGACTTTAAAACTGTTTTGTTTAAAAAGTCAAAGACCAGATTTTTGGAATAATAATAAAAAAAAAAGAAAAAAAAAAAGAAAATCTGTAGCCGTGATCATGAGCAAAACAGAGTCCCAAAGTGAAACCGGAACTTCAGAGTAATGTTCCAGTCGTAAGAAAACCCACTCAAAATAATTTGGAACTATGTTAATAACCACAAATCCAGCCTTGAGACAGAGCCTCTCTCAACAGTATCCTGCATGGCTCGCTTCGTATGTTTAGAAAAGGATGGGACTTATTTGACAAACTTTTTTTTAAATTATTTATATTTTTAGCGGCCTTTAAAAAACAGCATTTCCCAGCATTTTCTTGATGTAAGCTCTCTATAGCAGTCTCAGTTTAACATAAAGAGAGGGGACTGTAAGTGATTAAAAATAATTTCAACCCTTCGGTCCTGGAGGGAAACATACATTTTCAGAACATTACAAATATGATCATCATATTTCCTTGAGTCAAATGTTAAAGCAACAGTTCAGGTGGGACATTCCTGTCAATCTCCCAGTGCTCCTGGGCCAAAGTCAGCAAAGCAGCTTGACAGTGTCGGAGAAATAATCCAGATCACTGTCAACCCTATAAAATCATAGGCACGAGAGGGAACAAAGCTCGGCTGTGAACAATTTCAGTCATATTTTGTTATCCCTAATCTCCCACTGCCGCCCAGTTGCAATTAATTGGGATGTTGAGTCACCCCACAAACACATGCTGGTAAAGCCAGGATGTTGGTGCACCCGCTGATTTTATGCAGATGCTATGGATTACATACTAACTTTTATCTGGTGTTTTTACAGGGTATCCCTACATAGCTCTGGATTTCCTGTAAGCTGCCCAGACTGCTGCTTTCCATTTTCATCCAGCAGTTACAGGGAAAGACACAGTGGGGGCAGGCGGCCTGTAAATCACTACATCTATTAGGTCATTGTGAAAGCTCCTTGTTCTACTTAAAACTCGGGTGCGATTACCTTCACATTTCCTGATCTCAGGGTACGTTTAACAAGTTACATTTGCTCAAAATATTCTGAACATGCTCATTCTCGCCCCAAAAGGTTGTTTTTTTGTTGTTTTTTTTTATTGTAAAAACAATGTGGCTTTGACCCTTAACTGTGTCTCTAATGTTTGCAAGGTTGGTGCTCTGGATTTAAGCCTGCTCTCATGTTGCTTTCATTGTGTTATCTAGGAGCTCATTGTTGGCAATGGAGGGAAACATAAATATATTACTGAACAGCTACATGTGGCATATGGAAAATTAACACCTGAGAGAAGATAAGAAACTGTATTTCCTGGGTGTAACAGGCACTGAAGTGTAGGATACAACTCGCAGGCCTCTCTCGATGGGGTCGGTGAGCAGGAGGCCTCGTGGTGCATAGATCTTGTCATTCTGCTCCTGAATGTACTTTGCAATCTTCTTCAAAACCTAAAAGGACAGACAGAGATCACAGTTTCAGATGTCGTTTCACATTGACCGCAATCCAGTGGTATGCTAAACTCTCACAGAGAATGCATATGCTTCATTTTGATAATTTAAGAACCTGAATTTCTTATTTTAGTTTTTTAAAAGCAACATATGAAAACAGGTATTCCTTCAGAGAGAATTCAGGATTGACATTAAATTATTTTGCACAATAAGCTTAGCTTTTCTAATCCTAGCTAATCCTGACCCCATCATTTGGCTGTAGACTTAGATTAGTAATGTATGGCATTTTTAATAAATGTTTCTTTTAGTTCCATCAATCAAAGTATGAGTATGAGTAAGACATTCAACCCCTTATACCTGCTTAAACCTGCTTAAACCAGACTGGTAGAACGATAAAAACATGGATACCTGAAGGTTTTATTCTGATTGAGACGTCATCCTTATGCTTCCTTATATTTTTCTTCAAGTACATACGAGACTCGCATTAACATCCTGCAACCAGTGTAGTCTTAAACATGTTCTGTGTTTTAATATTCAGAATTTCATAATATGAGATTAGGGTGTAATTAAAAACTATACTTTACACAGGTTGGTATCAAATATCTGGTCAGACTTGTTTTTGATGGTAGAATGGATTCCACTAAATGTCAACAAACTCTGGATGCAAATGTCCTACAGTCAGTCAACAAACTGACAGTGGAAAGAGGCAGGCTTCTACAACAGGACAATGATCCAAAGCAGACATGAACGTCATGAACGACATGAATCAAAGCATGAACGATTTTAAGAAAAACAAGCTAAAGCTTTCGGAGCGACCCCCCATGGTGCCCTGACCTGAACATCACTGAAAATCTGTGGGTAGATCTTAAACATGCTGTGTGTGCAGGGAAGAGTGGGTGAAAAATCTTAAATCAAAAATAGAAAGAAAGCCTCTTAGCTGTCTACACAAATTGTTTGCAGGGGGGTGGTAGTGGTGGCGGTTATGTAATTACTGTAGGGGTTGTATTTACTTATTTTCACTTGAGAATCAACAACATAAGTTATTTGCCCAAACGTTTGCATACACCTATAAATGTGAAGGCAAAGTGTGATGAATGTGATGAGGATAATGGTGCACACAATGACAGCGTTTCCTCAAAGTTACTCATGCTGTTGCATTTGGTCATACACACAAAAGGTGATTGAAGTGATTGTGTGAACAGGGAAAAAGAAAGCTGAATTCCTGCATGATGCACAGTCTTATCTGACCTGTGAAACAAACACACTGTACTGCTGATACCTGGAATCTAACTAGCAAATCTCTGTCTGGCTAAGTAGGCGACAAGAGGATCCAACTAGCTAACCCCACCACATTCTTGAGCTGAAGTGCTGAATAACAGACTTCATTTTTACTTTGGTAATGACCAGTCAATTTAAATTGCATGACTTTATGAGTGCTCATAAAACACAAACCAAGCCAAATGTTTTTTATCCCTGTACACTTCTGTCCACTGAAAGACGAATGCATAAGACAAGAAAAGACCACTGACATACTGATCCATTTACATTCCATATGAACTGGGCCAAAAGGGATTTTAGTTGACTATAAATACAATTTATTTGCCAGCTCTCATAGAGGTCATAAAATTGTTGATTTACAGCCAAGCTCAAAGATTCCACACAGCAGCAACACAACTGCTTACAGCACTAAACCGCCTCAATCATCTTCAATGTTGACTATAGTGTGTCATTAATATGTCTACAAGCAGAAGCCAGAACAAGATCCAGCATGTTCATTATTAGGGGTGGGTATCTTTTGGATATTTTTAAATATTTGTGCCCATATTGTATATGAGTTTTACCAAAATTATACTTTTTCTGGAAACTCATTAAGAGGTCATAATTCTCAGATGTTACACATTGTCTCAATACAGGCCATAATACAATAGTCCAAAGTTGTGCCTGAAGCCATTGTTCAGTCAAAAATGCCAAAAACGTCCTACTCACAGCTTTTTAATTGTGAGGATTTACTGCTTTTCTCTGTTTTCTATCATTGTAAATTTAATATCTTGTTGTTTTGGAACGTTGGTCGGACAAAACTAGTAATGTGAATATATCACCTTGGGCTTTAGGAAACTGTGAGGGATATTTTTTTTATTTATTTAAACAATATAATTGATAACTTCTCCTCCTGTATGCCTGGGTCATCTTCCCAGTAGCAGCACAGCGCCAACAGTGCTGGAGCCTGGAGCTGGCCGCACCCTATGACCTCAGGAGCTTGGACAAGTGAGCAGGTGACGGAAAAATAAGTAATAGTAACAGCATGTCTTGGCAGGTACAACAAAAAAAATAGTTTGGACCTTGTCTTGACATTATTGGGTAATAATACATTACACTAGATTGAAATATTTCACATAATGTGTATTGATCAGTTTTATTCAACAATTTGGGAAGAGAAAAAAGATAGAAGTTCCATTCATCTGAGGCCTACGTCATGTCGACATCGTCTCTGTATATTAAAAACGAGTAATCATACAACCTGTCGGTCTGTAATTAATTTTCATTTCTTTTATAAAATCAATCTAAAATGTTCAAGTTATGTTCTAAAACTTTATTGACAATACAACTGGAAAAAACCCCCCAAAAAACTACTACATCAGCGAACAAAGTCGTGACGATCGGAAAATCACAACACTGAAGCTTCTGAGAGGCAGTGTGCAGAAGTATTTTGAGTTTTTCACCATAGATGGTAAAATGACCTTAAGGCTGTTTACTCTAAAACAATAACAAATCTGTTGACTCTTCTGCAATTAAATGAGACAGCAGAGGCACCAGAAACAAGTAAAGCAACATCAACTGTACAACCTCGTCTGACTGCCTGTATTTTGCCACACTCACTCTTGAGGACAAATAAGATCTATGTACAAGGATATGTGGATTACCTTTGAATTAGTTAGGCCAAATAAGATGGCAGTTCAAAGTGATTTTTTTTTAAAAAGGGACAGCCCTAATTTGGCCAGGCTGTAGTTCAGATTAGACTATATGCATGGTTAGATATGACAATGGCTGTTGCGGTGATCATTGTTATGGTTGTAGCTCTTGTTGTGGCTGTTTTGATTAGCAAGGCTGTGAGACACATGTTTGTGTAACACTACACCTTCACGCCGGCAGTGTGAATGTTGTGATGCAACTTTATTTCTGAAGTCTCCTGGCTGGCTTGTCTGGCGTTACAATGCTGTCTTAACAATTCCCAATGTTACTGTTAAGTGCTGTGAGAATAGCCAGCTAGTCACAGCCACAGCTAATGTTATAGCCATAGCCATATAGCCACAGCAATAGCTGTATTCATAGTCAAAGCCACAACCGCAACAATAGGCATGGACATAAGCATAGCCACAACACTGGGTGCACCCACTCACACTGCGGTCACAGTAAGAATTCAGCCCCTCAAAAAGTACTATGTTCTGAATACCCAGCTCCATTCATTACTACTGTATTTAAACCTATGCATTTACAATGTTTGTCACCTTTTCATAGTGAGTCTCCATACACAGGAAGATGGTATATGCTGTGAGGCAGGCCAGACAACCTTCAATATATGACTGGCTTCCCAGCTTCTCAGCTTCAGCATACAGGTTATTGAGCGTCCGCACTGTCTCCTCAAACTGCTGCTTGTCAATCTGAAATACATGGAAACATAAAGGAAGACCAAAGGGTTAAAAATCACAGGACAAGGCACGGTGTGTGAGTGCCTTCTGCCCTGTCAGGATATTCGAGGGGAAACATTGTCTTCATAGCACAAGATCATTTTCTCCTTCTCTTTCCATCTCTAGATAAATGAGAGGCTGAATTTTCTTGGACTGGTCATACATCAAGGGAATGCTGGGCCTCCTTCCCGCACTGGAAACACCACCTGAAATTATTAGGATGCCTTTGCCATATGGTCTCAGAAAGTTTTCATTTAATAACTGACACAACAAACGCACTGAAAGCAGGACACACAGGGTGACAATCCATCGAGGAATATTGATGCTTTCTCCTTCGCCAATGGCACAGACACACCTTGATGAAGATAAAGATGCAGCTCAGCTGTTCCCTATACTGCAGACAGCTTTTTGGGATACAAACTAAAACCACAGCTGGCTGATAATCAAACCAGTGTTTCTGAAGAATTCCTCAAATGAAAGTCTTCTGTAGGGAAGACTGATGGAGGGTGGAGGACGTTTGAACTCAGAGGCGGTTTTGACTGGGGTGTCGACACTAGTCCCATGCTGGCCCAGAATGGATCCGTTGATTTTTCTGTGATTCGGAGGGAAAATGAAGAAGGAGCCTCCAGAGCAGATGAGGAGCCAGCCAGGGGCCTCCTGAGCCTATGAAAAGCCTCCAATGTTCTGCTCCCTTGTGCCCAAGGAATGCAACAACAAGCTCCAACACATCAGTAGTCTAAGGCGTGTTTGGTACCCGCCATTGGGAGCCTTTGTTCTCCTCCTAATTTTCCAATTCAGAGGCTGCGATTCAAACCACATTTTTCCATCTTTCCATTACGCCTGATGCCTGATGAGAGTCCAAAGCTGAAGAGGGTTTACAAATTGAAGTGAGGAAGGGGGCAACTGGAGCTGTCACTAAACATATCCTAAACTTAGGATATAAATATTAGACACAGGTCAGAGAAAACTGTCAGTTAGGGTTAATGAAACACTCTTGAATGGTTTGGCAAGCAAACTGCCAAATACATTTACAAAACTCAGTGCTTTCCAGGTTCTTTGGTACAATTCTCCAAAAGTATTTAAACAGGAAAGAGCTACCAAAAATAATAAATCCCACAGCCTGAGATAATTGTCTGCAAGAATGTGATGTTACAGCATGCAGACCTTTGCAAAACAAGGCAACTACATGACAAAAATCAGATATTGGGATAAAAAACACTGCCCCAAATAAAATGAAGCTTTTTTGAACATTGTGTTCTGCAAACATCCTCACAAACTGACATAAACAACTGGCCTAAATTTGGAAGCCACTAAACACTTTGGCATCATACTGCATATTTCATAAACAGGGATTACAGAAAATCATTAAAAACATACAGTATATGTGGGAAGAACATTTTATGGTAGGGGACTCAAGCTTTTACCTCCCAGAGGAAAACCATTCGTCCTGCAGTTGAGTGGGCGTGTGTGTGTGTGTCTGTGTTTGTCATAGGCTACTTTTTGGGTCACTGGTTAAGGTTAGGGTTTGGTAAAGGTTAGGTAAGCAGTGGTTCGGGTAAGTCTCCAGGAAATCAATGTAAATCCATGTAATCTCCCCCAAATGTGACCTATGACAATGTGTGTGTATCTGTGTGTGTGTGTGTGTGTGTGAACCGAATCATCGCGAAAAACATGGGAGACCACCCAATCAAGAAGGAAGTGCCAATAAACCACTAGTTTAAGTGGTTGAAGTGTTGTGAAGCTGCTCTTTTCATGTGGTGCGTGCATTTCAAAACTGCAGTTCTGTGTCCTGCGAACTCTGGACTGTTTGGCTGGCACCATCTTTAATGTGGCGTAGAGCCTGTTCAGGCTCAGCGACCTGCTCTTCCTCCTTCACATCATTACCGATGCCTGCTCTTAACCCACTTCCACCATGAAGTTCACATAAGGACACAGTCCAGCAGGGTTCCTCAGTATTTTTCACTTTTGGCTCCATGCGGATTTCAGCAGCAATTTTCTTTTTATCCTAGGGCCAGAACAGCAACTCTTCATTCTGATATGGATAATTTGCTATGATAAATGAACCATTCAGCAGTATTTTCCTGAACATTAAGCAAAATTATAATATTTCATTACTCTTCTTCATCCCTATGGTAATGTTTTTCTTCCTATCTGAAAATAGAGAACGATCTGGTTCAGAGTAGCTACAGTCTGCAGGTTACAATAAACCAATCAGACTGAGCGGCTCAAAGGTTTACACTGCAGCCTCAAAGCAGTCCTGTGTTTGAATGTTCTCCGTGTACACACAGGTTTAACATGTGTTTATGGAGAACACTCTGAACTGGCCCTTAGATTTTATTGGCAAAGTGTCTAGATACTGTATGAGCCCTGTGAGGGACTAGTGACTAGTTTCTCTGCCTTTCACTCAGTGCATGATGGGAAGGGCTCCAGCTCTTACTGCGACTATGACTAGGAAGCAGATATGTAAAGGATAATACAAAGCCAAAGTAAAACCAGAAGTTCTTTTTGTAATTATTAAGTAATACCATATATAAGGTGTGGCAAATGAACAATATACAGCTCCACTTCTTCATGTTGTGTCAAACAAAGAAGTTCTGGCATTGACACACAACACACTCTCATGCACACCCTGAATGACAGATATTCAGAAAGGGGTAGTAAAGAGACAGACGGGGACAGTAAAAGCTTTATGCATTTTTTCATAGTCTACTGGCCCACTGATGCAACAGGATTTTTCCTGGTGCTCCCAATGACGGCCAGTCCAACTATGACAGATGGATCCATTGTCAATGGTTTGTGTGTTTGTCAAAGGGAGAGAGAAGATGGTGCTCTGCCAACCATTTTTATGCATTAGTGTGATGGAAAAACTCTGAATAATAAAGTGAAGAGGTGTATCCTACCCTGGTCTCCAGCTCAGAGGGGAACTTGGTTTGGAATTGGCACACAGTGCCATTCGTATAGTCTCTCTGAAGGAAGACTTTGGCAGCGATGGCTGCCTGTTGCCTCATGTCCTGCAAGCTGTGAGTCTGTGGAAACAAGAGATTACAATTTTAATCATCTCTACACTTTCAGGGTTTGACAATCTAAAAATTAATCTATTCCAAATTGCACATATTTTTCTCATAATCTGTATGAATTACAATGAACCCTGGTGTTATGGGTATCATCTTGGTCAAGGTTCTTATGTTTACAGCATAGTTACAGTGTCTCCATGTTGTGAAGACATTCTGCAAAGCAGGCTGTTTGATGTAAAGCAAGAAAACAAACAACTAATGTATTACAGGCTAGGTATTCAGACGTTTTTTTACAGGAACATGTTGACATGCCACAGTAGAAAAATTGCAGGTGCAAAGCTGAAAAGTAATGCTTATTTTTAATATCTGCCAATGATGTTATCTATTAATCCATCAATAATTTCATTAATATAGAATCAGATATATTGTAGAACATAAAATGATGTGCTTAAATGTCTTGCCTGTTTTGCCTGACCAAGGTCCAAGATCCCAACGTATTCAATTGGCATTGCATTTTTGATTTTAAAAATTATGTAAATGATGAATCAATTAACAAATCATTTTAATTTTCTGTCAATCGATTAATCAAATAATCCCTGCAGCTCTTGGTGTAAATAATAATAATAAGTCTGAATTTAATTTAGCTTCTTCAGTCTCAGGGTCCTGTATGTGCAGTATGACTGCCACATCTCACTGGGACACTTTAGAACAGAGCCATCATTAACGTAATTAGTCCTGTGCTCTTCCCATTATGACAAGTCAAAACGTCTGCTGTGAAAAAGGCTCATTTACTATTTAAGGTGTGGAATCCAGGTGTTTCACATTTCTTATGTTTATATGGGATGTTGTCCTTCCAGCACTAGACCACCATCTAATATAGTTGTCTGTGAGATTTATTAAGTCTCCACAGAGCTGTTGAGAACTTGTGTTCACTGTTACTACTTCAGCACGCGACTCCTCCGACACTGCCATCTTTGTTCTATCAGGGAACAAAGTTTAAATGATGTATCCACAGCCACATCCCTGCCCTGGAGCCAGTATGTTGCTCTATGGCCAAGCTAAGCCGGTAGATAAGGTATTAGCAAATTACCAATTACTTCTCAAACCAAGCTAGTATCTATAGGCAGCTTGGCTCCTCGTTGAGATAAAACATTTTTCCGAAACTGCCGCATATGAGTCATTTTATACATATCCCAGCGTGTTGGCAAAGATGTAGTAAACATTACCAGGCAAGTTACCGACCGACCGGTGAGCTACCAGGCTCACGGTGGTCAACTTTCCCGCTGTCTTTCTATCAGACATACTCCGAGAAAACGTGAAAAACTGTGACGTTAGTAATAAATTCTTCACATACTACTGACGTATGAAAAATAAGGTTCAAATTCATCGTTAGCTTACCTCTGCCATGTTGAACAAGGTTTCTGTTTATCTTCCGCTACCAGTTTTTAGCATGTACTACGAAATATCTTTTCCGAAGGGAAACTTTTGTTTAATAACAAAGGTTCCGGGTGCAGAACGCTATTGACAACAAAAATCCACTATTGAAACAATTGAGCCCTAAAGCTTTTCAAAATCATGTAACACAAGATACAACAGTGTCAACAGTGGTGGGAGGTCAGTACATTAATTCAAGTACTGTATTTAGGGCCTTTTTCAGGTACTTGTATTTTCATTTTATGAAACTGCTATTGTAGTACATAAAAACAAGAAATATTGCACACTTTACTCCACAATACTGATAACGGCTTTTATTCTTCTGCAAATTAAGATTTTTAAAATATCAAATGCACTGCAATGTATGCAATGTTATGTATATTAAGTTAAATCTGACAGAATCAGCTCCGTTGCAGTCAGCTACAACCTAAAAGGCTACCCACATGTTAATGCATCAGCAATATTAATCTAATAGTATACTAGATATAGATTATTCTGATAGTATTTTTCCTGCATATTGGTATTATACTTTTACTTAAGTAAAGGATCTGAAGACCTTCTGTCACAAACTGTTGTGTGGTAAGGGGGGGTAGTCTATAAATCAATTTATACCTGCAGCTGAATGTTACAATACTACAAAGGGACTTTAATAACGTTTACCTAATTAAAAGTAAACATCTGATTTTAAAGCTAAACCTTTAACTCAGCTATGATCACTGTGATGGACTGCATATCGATTATAACAACCAGGACTACTAGTATTTAATAAGACATGACCTTTTGTATATGACTCAGATGTTTTTCTGTTTCAAAACGAAGTCTGGGGACAACACAGAACTCAGTTTGGGTTTCTGTTTCCACAACAGCATCACACATTAATACCCAAAAGAGGCAGATGCTCCTGGCCTTGGACCATCACAGATCCCTAAAGCCACAGATGTGCAAGCAGATACATTTGAGAATTTGAGTAAAATCCATCTTTAAAATGGGCTCCGGGCTTAGACACAGGTTTGAGAAAATGCAGAGCACACAGCAAAATATTATATTACTTCAACATTTGGAAAATATAGTGGCAAGAAAAAGTAAGCGAACCCTTTGGACTTATCTACATTGATGTATATGTATACCTATGTCTTAAATATGGTTAGATCTTCATCTAAGTTACAATAATGAACAAACACAATCTGTTTTAACTAATACACATGTAATTGTATTGGTCTTGTCCATATTGAAAACATAATTCAAACATTCACAGTGTAGGTTAGAAAAAGTATATGAACCCCTCAACTAATATAATCAACAAAAGATAGCTGCTGTCAGGATTTATCAAATCTGGAGTCCACTCAATGAAATCAGATTGGAGGTGTGGGTCAGAAGCACTTTGGCTATAAATACTTATTTAGAGTTTGCTAAGATGGATCTGCTGATGTGAATCAGGCCTTGCAAAAAAATATATCTAAGAGGATCAAGAATTGCTGATTTGCCTCAAGCTGGAAAGGGTTACAAAGTCGTGTCAAAAAAGTAGCTGTTCATCAGGCCACAGTTAGACAAACGTTCTATACATGGAGATGAGTTAGTTCTGCGGCAACACTCTCTAGAAGTGGGCGTCCAGCTAAGATAACTCCAAAGACTCAACACTGAATAATCAGTTATGCAACAAAGACGCTCAGAGTAACAGCTAAAGGCTTAAATGAATCTGGAGCTGGTTAACATAGCTCCACATGAGTCTACCACATGCAAATCATGGTGCCTGGTTGCATGGAGCATGGTGACATGCCACGGAGGAAGCTGCTGCTCTCCAAAAAAAAAACAAAAAAACATCACTGTCTGTCCGAAGAGCAGCTTTACACTCCACAACACTACTAGGAAAATGTTTTGTGGACTGATGAAGCTAAGGTTGGATGTTGCTTAGGTAGAACATGCAGCACTATGTATGGTGTAAAAAGGGCACTGCAGACCAACATGAAAACATCTTCCCAAAGGTGAAGTACGGTGGAGTGAGCATCATGATTTGAGGCTTTGCTGTCTGGATAAGCTCCACATCATAGCTGGGGGAAATTAAACCCTAAACCGATGAAGTAAATCTACTACTGAATGACTTCAGACAAATAAAATCCACCTGGACTGGCCCAGTCAGAGCCCAGACCTGAACCCAGTAGAGATGCAGGGGATTGACCTGAAGAGAGCAGCTCACACCAGACATCCTAAAAATATATCTGAGCTGAAGCGGTTGTGTAGCGAGAACGATCCAAACTTCCCCCTGAACACTGAGGAGGTCGGATCAGCAGTTAAGAGCTTGTTTGAGGTTATTGGTGCCTAAGAAGGTTCAAATTCAAGGTTTGACTTACTTTTTCCATCAGCACTGCGAATGTTTAATGGCTGTGTTCAATAAATGTACACAAATATATATAATAGTTTGTTATTAGCTTAAGCACATTGTGTTTATCTATACTTGTGACTTAGATAAAGATCAGATCATAATCTTTAGCATTAAAAAAAATAGAGGTAGCCTAATTCCAAAGGATTCATTTACTTTTCCTTGCCTTGTTGTCTGAGAGTCATCCACTTACCTACCCCCTCTAAAACATGACATGTTGTTATAAGTTAAACTCCACACTAAGTAGCAGAATTTGAAACCTCCCGTCAGGCCTCGAAGGGTATTAGAGCAACAGTAAAACAACTTTGGCAAAGTCAGGACAGATTTTCACAGTCTGTCAGGAGCTGGTGTTCGGCTTGGAGATCTGAGTGACTTGCTCATGAGGAATGCATTTTTCACAACCATCCCATGCATCACAAGGCCTGGGCCTGGGCTTTCAGGGAGTAATTAGTGGATCTGTATAAATGTAAAAATCCAACTACTGCCCCTGAACTGCGCTTGTTTGTTCTCCTGGCCCGGGGGGGGGGGGGGGTTTGGTGGGGTGGGGTGGGGGCCTTTAAAGCCCCTGTCCTCTGTGATGGCCGGCGTGGGAGAGACCGCTAATGAGCACCATTTGGACCCTTCATTTACAACACATGCTGGTTAATAGCCCACGACAATAGTTTTACTGCTGCTCAGGCCACTCTTGCTGAAGTGGCTCTCTAATGGAAACACTATACAACCTCTCTGGATGACCACTCCACCACAGCCCGCTATTTATAGAGAAACCACAGCTGGATCATTCAGCTTTCTAAATGTCACTCTTAGAGGGAATATATATGTGTATATATATATATATATATATATATATATATATGTGGCAGTGCCTGTTTGTGAAAATCAAGTTAGTAAATGAGAACAGGTAGGGTATGCAATGCTATGCTGCACACTGCAGATAAAAGGAAGAGAGAGATAGCACTATCACTGAATTCTAGGTGTTTGGTTTCCACTGGGACAATGCAAAAAAAAAAAAAGGATGCAGCCTCGTACTGTGAAGTGGAGTAAAATTGGCCTTCAAACAGAACTGTGTTAACGTTAGGGATAGAGGTTAACCTCAGTCTGTGAGGGAAAATCTGCTCAATTAAATTTTTATGTTTTTCTGGCAATTTTTAGTTTTCATGACTTTGCCTACAGCGTCTAGCTCAACCATAATTGCTCACATCTTGACTCTTGCACTGAGCATTTATTGCCAAAGATAGAGAAATTAAATTTATTGCCAAAGATTATACAAATTAAAAAGAACATCTCACACCAAAGAGTAGATGAAGCACTGACGATGTAAAGAAAAGAAACAAGGGGACTTTCTCATCACCACTTCAAAGCAAAGCGCCTTCTGCCCAGATCCTGGACAGTATCCAGAGATCAGCAGTGAAACGTAAAATTTCAATTTACTTGTAGTTTCTCTTTTGTGTTGCTTCATACAGCACTTCTCCTCTACATTCATCAGCCAGTCATATTTGTTTTAATTTTTAAAACTGTAGATACAAAATATATGATCAGTTTACAAAATATTATGCAGTAACAAACATAGAAAGTCACTGAAATTACCTCCATGTCAACTAGCTACATTAAAATTCTGCTTACATTGTTAATGCTTCAATAACAATAATTCAATGATAATATAAAATGTCAGTAGAGTTTCTGCTGCATAACTTAATATAAGTACATATAATATATATATGTATAATTTATGTCTAATATGGTTTTTCTACAAAAAAATTATCTGGTTAAAAATTCTTAAAATTACCGAATCCTTCTCCCCCGAAGTTATAAGAATGCAAATATTGTCATAGTGTAATGTATTTGTGCACTGGAGGCGTCAGCATCACACTGATGTGTGATACTGGACCGCAGTTGGTTTCCAAACTAGTTGTAGTACACGTATTGAACTCAGATTTAAGGTTTTGCACTGTGCACCTTTCCTCCTTCAGTGGATGAATGCAAAAAGAGTCGTCTAGTAGCAGACACCATTCTGCAGAGTGAAGCTCAAACATCCAAGTGAAGTAACAATAAGCAATACTGCAGAGTGCAGTTGGTTTCAATAAAATTTTGAATGCTTATAATGAAGTACTTTTACATGCTGCTATTGGATCCTCTTTTTGTGTGAAGGATCTCAGCACTTCTAACACTTGCACCCCTCATAATCTTGCAGGGGATAAATACTGTAATGTGCACCGACCTCCCTATTCCCACTTGGACTTTTTGAACCGATCCAGATCACACTGAGGTCTTTCATGCCTTGGCCTGCAGTCCTCACATACAGGAGTCCATCCAGACATATGTTGGTTCCTTTTAAAACTGAGATTTATAGTCAGTTTACTAACAACTAAGGAGCTACAACTGGAATGCATTAACATAATCAGAATATCAAATAAAATTAAAGCCATTTTTCCGCTGCTGTGTTGAAATCAATCTATCCCTTCATGTTCTCTCTGGTTCCAAAGCTCCAGATTTTTTTTCCCTGCGAACATCCACTGAAAGCCAAGAAGAAACAGCGACAGCGCTGCGCTGCTTCTGACAACAGCCAGCACGTTTGTTTTAGGTGTTTTATGCCTTAACATCATAAAGAGGTATTAAGACATCTGTGACTTTTATTGACC